TCCCAAGCCAAACTTCCATTTTTTTGTGGATGAAAAAACTTTTTTAATGCTCTGTAAAATTTTTAAGGATGGACCCAACGAGTCAATAAATCGTGCATATTAACATAATATTATTAAGCATATAATCTAATGCTTATTTTAATGAGAATAATTTTCTGCTATATGATTATTATCCATTTGGATCATCCAGATTTTGTGTATATTATTATGAAAATTTTCCCCATGTCCTCATACATTATTATCTAAAATATGAATTGAGTGAGGGGTTTAAGGCTTCACAAGGGTCATATTTAGATAGAATATTGAATTAATTATACAAAATATAACCAACAAACCGTAGTTATACGGATATACGATTACCATTTGCAGAATTATTACATTACATTACAAACTCGCATAAAATTTTGCGTTTCATAATTTCAGATTTTTTTTCTCTCACTCGTTTTTATTATCTGATGAGCATTTTTAGAATGAAGAGTTATTAAAGCTAGTTTTGTCATGCTAGGTTTAAACTTTTGAGAAATTTTTAATATTTTTTAAAGAATTCTGAAATATTGGGTTGAATCGTATGAGAGTCTATTTTTAAATTAAGGTTGAAATCCTAAATTATGGAGCATGTTATCATGAATAGATGATTCTTTTCTGCACTTTAAATATGGAAGGGTATTTCTGATTCTAAGATTCTCTATTCAAAAACGTCACTAGTGATTTATTTGTCAGTCTTCTGACCAGTTCTCGAAAGCTAAGTTACTATAGATTTAGAATGTTCGTTCCATATTCAAGTTTGAATCCTACTCATGAAAATGTGTTAATTTCTTAGTTCAAAGCTCGATTTTGACTCCATTTTTTTCTAGAAAATTGAACAAAATCAAACTATGCTTGATCCTGCTTATCTTAAGATATCTGGAGATTGAAATTTCAGTGTCTGTAAATTCAGTGAAAACAGATTCTCAGATCAAATCGAAACTTTCTACACCAGAAAAGTCATTTTTCTAATTTACTAGGAACAATCCTCATTGTCTGAAAACTTCACAAAACCGAACTTCGATTGAAAAAGTGCGCTCAATAATCCAAATGGATCAGATCAAGACTTTTATCTGTCGTCATCATTTTGATATAGTTTACAGAAATTATCATTATTATTATTATTATTATCATCATCGTCATCATCAACATGATTAAACGTCATTGAATAATTTATGTGAAATTTGTATCAAGTTAGAATTTGCACAGAGGAGGTTATATGAGTATTATTGCAAATGGAAATGGCTATTGAAGGTAGATTTTGTGAAATAAATATCGTCATCAAGGGAACATGAAAAAGAAAAACGAGAAATTATTATTATGAGAGTCATAAATGAATGTAAACGACTTATTGTGCAATAAAATTTGTTTCAAAACTGTCCATACATCGAGGGATTGAATGTGCTTTCATGGCTCTCATGTCCACATTGATGTCGAAAATCATCTAAAATTGCAATTTTTCATTAATGTCTGTCAAAATGGAATGGGAGACTTCAATATCAAAATATAATTCATACACATAAATGATGAATTTCTAACTCGAAAATTGAGTTCATTAAAAAGTAAAGATAGTCAAGTAATTTCTTATGGGAATATATTCATATCATGAGTTTTGTTCAGTTTTTGCATACAACATTCACATATCACAAATTCATTTATTTCCAAACTCAGTCGGTGAGAGGACTGTGTGTTAATAATCGAAAAACATGGTTGATGCGTTGTAGGTTTCCTAAAAAAAAAGTCATAATGATTATTCATAGGTGGATATTGTTGGAAAATTTATGAGTGAAAAACTTGCATTTTCCGGTATTTTCAATCGTGGTACAAATAACAATTGCTGACAGAATGCAATCGGAGATTTATCAAAACGTAATTAATGCATATATGTAGAAGCATTATGATTCCCTTATGAATGATTTTTGTCTATGCATTACTCACTCTCTTTTATTATGATTGAATATCGTAATTTTCTATTAAATAGAGTATTTTTTATATCATATCCACATATATGATGATTACTGTCATCTGAACTATCAAATATTTAATTAACAATATCGATCAATATATTGAGAAATGAAAATATTATTGGAATTCATCTGGCTTGATAGAACTCTCTGATGAGGTACATTTTTGATTTTCTATTGCATTAAATAGTTCAATGTACGCAGTGGAATCAACTGAATTCAACAAAGTACATAGACTAAAAATGAGTCAGAAACAAATGACAAAATCCTTAATTTTCTCGCAAAACTTTGATCAAACAAGATTTGATCTATTTCAAAATAGATTCAGAGAATTGAAACTTTGGAATCATCATCTAGTTAAATAAAGCAATTTACAAGTTTACAAAGCATCTTAATTTTAAGCATTAAGTTTTGCTATAAATTTTTAAAATGAAATCCTGACCAATGATAATTTCATTACAATCTACTTCTTTAACTGCTGATCTTAAACTTTTTCAAAACCATTTGGGAGAAGTAAATTGTTGGAAAAAGTAAAATAAAAACTTTTATAATTTCAGCACAATTTGAAAGATTACGCATTCTGTTTTGCTTACTTGGAATCAAGATATATAAATGTGCTCATACAAAAATATCGCAGTTTTTAAACGTCAAAAATTTGAATTTTCTAAAAACACTAACACTATAAAAGAAAATTTTTAATTTTTGTTTTGCAAAATTTTCAACTTTCTGTTAAGTTTTGTTGTTCAGGAGTATTGCAAATGCTTTGCTATAATTTAAAGAAACTGACTTAAGACAAATGTTGTTGCATCTGTCAATATTTAAATGAAAACTTGAAAATAGAAAATTTTAAAAATTTTTGTTTGTATAAGTACACAAAAAATAGTATGGTCGAGTATGGTCAAGTATACTCTGTATGAGCCCATCTATATATCTTGCTTGGAATCTAAATTTTCTGTTTATAAAAAATATTATTTCTGTGTTATGACGCATAGGAAAATACTGCAGTGCACATGGAATTTCAAGAAGAAGAGTTCAAATCATTTGAAGCTAATTTAAGACCATGTTTTTTGGTGATTTGTCATAATCAGCTTTAAATTTAAAAATAATTTAAAAGTCGCTTAACTCTTTCATTCACAAATTTCAATCCCTTTCATTAGAATTATAATCATCATTATAATAATACTCGTACCCCTTTTTTCATCCTCCGTCTTCATATCATAACAAAAAGATAATAATATCTTTTTTTTTTTGTATTTCCAACTATCGCATGGGAGTGAAAAAGTTTTACAATGAAAAAGAAAGGAAAATTTTTTTATACACAGGGTTTTTCATCAATTATTAAAACAACAATTAAAAGTAAAGTTGATACGAAGAAGCTGAAAAAAAAGATAGATACAAAGTTAATTAACACAACAAACTCGGGTAAAAAGTCATTTGAGTTAGATAATTGCGGTGTAGATGAGAATGTCTCGTTTATTTTTTTTTTGGCTCTCAAATGAGGAAAATGGGAAATGAAAAGTCACTTAATTTTTTTTTTTACATTTATGCTTTTTTTCAGAATTTTTATTTATTCTTGACTTGATCAATGAATATATATCGCTGCTTTTTTTTCGTATAATTTTTATTAAAAATTTTTTATAGTTGTTTCGATTGCCAGAAAAGTCAATATTTTTCATTTGAAAATACAAAAATTATTTTTTTTTAGCTTTTAGTTTCTCTCATCTATCAGTAAGGTTTTTCATTAATTTAATAGTTATTATTATCGGATACACTTTCATTAGGTATTTATCCTTTTAAAAAAGAGTAAAATTATCTCAATATATCTTCTTTATCATCTTTTCAATTTCATCTATTTACACCCTGTAATAATTCATTTCAATTTCAATTATTTATTTGTATGATTCTTCTCTTCATCTTGCTGAGATGCTAGAAAGTTTTTTTTTATCAGTTGAATTAAAATTTTTAAGTATACAATTTAAAATTTAAAGAATAGATTTGTGTGATTAAATCAACAATTTTTTATATGCTATTGTCGGGATATTTTGGATTCAATACTTTTGTTAAGGTTTGTTCACAAATGTTGAATAAAATTAAAGTTTAAAAACCGACTTTAGTGATCAAATTCCAATGATCCTTGCTCAAAACCTTAACACTCTAAAGCATTTTCATTTGTGAACAAACTCTCAATCATAAAATTGTCATTTAAACATTTTATAGCTAGCCAATCGGTGGATTAAAAATAAGATCAACAAATAAACTAATTTTGATTAAGTCAAGGCTTTAACACTCGGAATTAATCCCAAAAATCCTAGCACTTCCTAATATGATATCTTAAAAATTCGAACGGATTCTTATATTGTTTCGAGTGTTAACGTCTTTGATTTAGTATTGGCTTCAATATTCTCTCCTCACATTCACAATCATAAGATCTAGAATTTTAAATGTTTACGTATTTTAGTTGCCTGAAAACCAAGTTTAATTAATTAAATTATTGTTAAAAACATTAAAGGAACATTTGATGAATTTATGAAGGCATAGAAGTAGAGCTAACTTCAGTCCTGGATTCCTCTGTTTTATAAATATAAGAATCCAGCTATCAATCTTGAAATCATTTCTCTATGCTACACTAATCATCATCAACACTACTAATTCACAGTCTTAATTTTTTTTATAGAGGTAGCATATCCCAAAATATCCCCGACAATAGATATCAATTAAAATGAAATATTTTGATTAAAAACGCAAGCAAATGAACCATTACGAACAAAAAAAAAATGAAATTATGACATGACGATGATACTAATGAATGGATACTAAAAATACATTTTCCTAATAATTAAATGAAAAATAATTACAATTAAAAAGTAGCGTCATCATAATAAAACATTAATAAACAGCAATGTATATTATGTAATTTGTGGTTTTGATACATTTAAAAATTATAATAATAATAATAAGTAGGTAGTTATATGGCAAATAAGTAATTTATAATTAGTCAAAGTATTTTTCCTCGTGAGAATGAAGCAAATAAAATGAAATTCTTATCAGTTTTTAATTAATCATCATCAAGCATTACCTTAATCAAGTTGATGGCCTTTTGATGATGAATTAGAAGATGATTTGGAATTTTTATCGCCATTTTTTAGAGACACTGTAAAACAGAAGACATATTATATTGTATGATTGATGTCTAATTATGATCAATTGCACTTACTGTGATTTGTTTGCTGTATTAAATTTTTAATCATATATTTTTGGCTTTCAGTCGATGAACAGCTCTTCGATGTGGTGCTTGATTTCGATGATGCTTTTTGTAAATGAGGCAATGTCCCACCACTCATCATTGACATTGGTTTCTCAATGACATAATAGTTTGGATCATTTGCACTTACACTACTGCCAACGGTAAAGTAATGAGCTTGTGTTGGCATAAAGCATTCGGGTGCTGGGAGGCTTGGAGGTTGCCCTATTTGATGGGGAATAGTATTGACATGTGATGATGGCATATGGGAAATATTTTCACTAATCATACTTTCAGTATCATCCATGTATGGACTATGTCCAATCAATGTTGACGCTGAGTCTATTGTTTCAAATAAAAAAGAATATTTAAAAAAATTCATTAATATATGCATAAGATATAGAGAAAATCTCGATTTAACTCCTCATACCCTCATCCTCGTTCAGTAAATGTCCACCTGCATCACCTTCTCCAAATTGATAGTATGAGTTCTCGCTAAATGTCAGTTTATTCACGGTGTGTTTGATGTAATTTTTTCGTAACATATTGCCAATGAATTTTCGTGCTTCTCTCCTATCACTGATTCCGTCCACATTTTGTAAAATCCAGTTTACGAGGTCACTATTGAATTATCAAATTTATTTAAGCATATAACAGAAAGCATTAAAATCAATCTAGTCTGCTCTGCTTACCTTCCTATAAATGCATTTGGTATGGTGATCTTTAACCATAATCTATCACGAATTTCTAAGCCACTTTCTGGCTTCTTCATTGCTTGTATAATAACTTTATATGGCATATTAACATTTAATCTTGGATGGACTGCCATTAATACTTCTGATTCTGTCTCTAAATTCTCCGTTGATCGTAGTGCATTTGTGTGAGCTAACCATGCAGAGGGATCTATTGGACGTACTGGTTCCGACCGGGGAATCGTAAAGTAACCTACAATAGAACTTTATCAATCTTTGTTCTGCACACATTTTGAGCAACTCTACCTTTTGGATTTGGGTCCCAACATTTGGCAACAACCAGCTTAACTGGTCCAGGTTTTTGAACTACCTCGCGCAGTACTTTTACTGCTTCATCATTGGTCATATTCTCAAAATTAATATCATTTACTTGCAAAATCATATCGCCAGGCTCAATTCGTCCATCTAATTGTACTGCACCACCTTTCATAATACTACCAACATATATTCCACCATCGCCACCTCGGTTTGATTGACCTACAATTGAAATTCCTATTTTTCCAAGCACAAGCACAGAAAGAATGGAAATTAGTAATTCATAGCTCTAGCAAGAAAGTATTGTATATGATCCCATACCTAAAAAGTTCACCGTGTCCATATTTAGTGTCACTGTTATTATATTTAATGACATAGTAGAGTCTGTAATTGAACTATATGAAGAAGTGCGTGACATTTGGTTATTGGGCCGCTTTTTCCTCTTCTGTGGTTTCTTTCTAATCCTCAATCGATTGTTCTGTTGACTTGACAATATCGACGAATATTCTGTAAGATTCTCATCATAATCATAATAATTCTCATGCTTCAACTTATCCATATCATTTTCAGTCTCATCATCATCAAAGAAACTTGTTGACGATGCTAAATCCGATGATGATGAAAGGAAGTTTGTAACAGCTTGGTACGTAAGTTTTCCATCCGGTCCATGTCGTGTTTTATGGTGCTCGCCATCTGTCTTATCTGGATGATTCTCAGAAGCATTGGATGTCGCATCAGTTGATGTTACCAGCTTTAACCGTAAGGAATAATAATCATAAAAAAATGACGAGAAAGAAATGAAAAGGAAAAGAATAATTTAATGTTTAGATGGTTATCAGATATCGACAGGTTTTGCGCTGTTCTACATCCGTATTCTGACCTAAGTTATGTAGTACGCTATATAAAAGTATAGTCAAACTCACCCAGCAGACAACTTTATTATTGAAACATGGAAGAACTGTATTATCATCAATTATCTCTTCTTTTACAACACTGTAATTAGTAAAGTAAGTAAATAAGTATGCATAATAATAATATTGAAAGAATATATAATATAAAAGAAACTTGAGATGTGTAAATGAGAGCATTTAAAATCAATTATGAGTAGCATGTGAAAAAAAAATAAAAAGAGTTACTGTAACACATACCCAAAATCAGCATCCATAGATTTAAAGAAAAATTTATAATTGCACGTCTGTTGTTTACTCAAAACAATCTTAAAGTCCCTCAGTTTCACTTGCGATGGTGGCATAGGTATCTTAACCAAGTATGGTGTCGTCTCCTCATCAATGTGATAAATAATTTTTGTCTCTTTTTGATGATAGACTTGATTATCGTCGTCTTCTGCCATGTTTGCAAATTATTTGCTGCTTTTTTTTTCTATGACTCACAAATCAACTTTTCGGATGATTGATGCAAGGTTTTTCGTGTTCACTTAATTGCGATAATAATTTTTTTTTGATGTTTAAATTTTAATCGATAATACAGACTTTTTGCCTTTATGTGCTGCTTGTGAGTGTTTTTTTTTAATTGAAAATAACTGGAAATTTTCTTGAGCAAGTTATCTACTTTTTATAATATTGTTGTAAAATCCCTGTGTTGTATTTTGTCTTAAAATTTATTGCAAATTTCTTTTTCTGATAATTTAAAAATCATTGTTAAATTTTTTGACATTAATTATCACAAATTAACTCTTTTGACAGTTTACCTACTCAATTCTATTTTTTTTTCTCTCCTTTTTGGAAATTTGTTTTTGTATCTAATTTTTTAGATAAAACTGATATCCTATCACGCGATCTTATGTGTACCACATTTTACTGACAATTTGTTATCCGTTTAGTCCTTAATTGTGCAAATTTGTTGGTTAAAAATATGATTTTTCATCGAAAAAAAAAAATTTACAGACTTCTTTTATTGAAGAGTTTTCTCCATTATGATTATGCGTAAATTATGTCACATGGCATTAGCCGACTTGTAGGAACAAACTTATTTTTTCAGGTAATACAATTTTTTATCAAAGGATTTGTCCTAAGTTTGTAGTTTTAAATATTTCGAAACTATCAAAATTGCAACAATTTATTTATAATTTGATAAAATTCAGCATGTAGACATAACATTCTCATACAGCCTACACAAACCAGTATGATGACCTCTGCCGGATAAAGTTTAAAACAAGGAGTGTGTTCAAAATGAAATATGAAGGTATCATATTACAAATCAGGTAGCAAAGCGCATTTATAAACGAGTCAATTGAGATTCCACACAACGGCAGTTTCTGTTAATTTAATAAAGCATTGATATGATGAGACGATCACTTCGTGTCATCTTCATTCTTTGATCTTTAATTTTTCTGACGAACCATATCGTCACCAAAGTTGCGGTTCCAAATCTCAATAATAAACTTTAGATCTCAAACAAAAGCAAAACAGTCTACAAGAGACAAAATGATCTAAAACTCATAACATACTTTTTAAATCTTGCTAATTCATAAACAAGACTCTTCGTAAGCAGCCCAAAACTACTTCAACTTTTATTATTTTTATTGTTTTGAATTTCTGCATCCATTTAATGGAATCTGAAACACAATATTATTTTTATAATTTTAACATATTATGTTGCTCATTTAAGTATTCAATAGCATAAAATTATTAATTTTTAAGGAATCTAAATGTACGTGCGCGTAATATAATTATAAATTGATGAGATTTCCTCTAATGTCTTTACCAATTTGACTTAATGAAGTTAATCAAGCCATTTGTTGATGCATCATGACTTGAGACTTTATCATTGTTGGCCAAGTCACCTTCAATTGCCTTTGCCAATGCCTTTCCAAGTTCAACACCCCATTGATCAAATGAATTGACATCCCAGATGATACCTTGTGTGAAAATCTTCTGCTCATAAATAGCAATGAGGGCACCGAGAGTGAATGGTGTTACTTTCTGAACAACAATTGAGTTTGTTGGACGATTTCCAGTAAAAACTTTATGTGGAACGAGATTTTCCAATTTTTCTCCCTTCATACCGGCTTTTTCAAGTTCACCTCTTACTTGTTGTTCTGTCTTGCCGCACATGAGTGCCTCAGTTTGTGCCAAAAAGTTGGCAAGAATCAATTTATGATGTACACCGCCAGCAATTGGATTGTGAGTTTGAGCTGGGGCAATGAAATCACATGGAATCAATCGTGTGCCCTATAACGTAAATAAATGACGTAAGCAATTATGCAAACTTTGTTTTTGTTTATTTCAAACCTGATGAATGAGCTGATAAAAGGCATGCTGACCGTTAGTTCCAGGCTCACCCTGAGAATTAAAGTAAAAGTAGAATGTGTTAATGACATTGAAGTGCGTTCTAATCGAGAACAAATATTTGAAGTGAATGGATAAAAAGTGAATGTACAGCAATTATCATCACATGTTCAATTGACCTACATTGACCCACTAAATATATTTATTTTTTTCATTGACTAAATTACTTACCCATACGATCGGTCTGTAATGAAAAACAAACAAAATCTATTTTAGAACTGTAAATTTGGCATTTATAAATTGATTTCCTACCCAGTGCTGTAATCAACGCGTTTGCCGCTCTTTGCAACTCCTTTACCATTACTTTCCATGTCGCCTTGTTGGAAGTATGCAGCGAATCTATGCAAGTATTGGTCATATGGCAAAAGTGCTGTTGTTTCAGCGCCATAGAAATTTGAATACCAAACACCCAAAAGTGCGAGAATTACTGGAGCCTAAAATAAGAAGCCATTCATGTTTGATGAAGCCGTTACAAAAAATATGAAGACATTCTTACATTTTGACATAAAGGTGCTGTTTGGAAATGCTGATCAATGAAGTAAGCACCTTCTTGCAATTTAACAAAGTTGTCGAATCCAATAGAAAGAGAAATTGACAAACCAATAGCGGACCAGAGTGAATAACGTCCACCAACAAAGTCCCAGAATGCAAACATGTCTATAAAAAGACAAATTATTAAGAACTAGTCATCATAACAATGTTAACTGCTTTAAAACTCACTTTTGGCATCAATGCCAAACGCTGTTGCAAGTTTCTCGTTTGTTGACAATGCAACAAAGTGTTTAGCAACGTGACTTGGATCCTTTGCAACTTCCAAGAACCAGTTCTTAGCAGATGTGGCATTAGTAATTGTTTCTTGTGTCGTAAATGTCTTTGATGCTATAATGAATAAAGTTGTTTCAGCATTGATTTTCTTTAAGGTTTCAGCCAAATGAGTTCCATCAATGTTTGAAACGAAATGCATATTTAATCCAGTTGAATATGGTTTTAAAGCTTCTGTGACCATTAGAGGTCCGAGATCAGATCCACCGATACCAATATTAACGATATCAGTCATTTTCTTGCCTGTGTATCCCTTCCATTCACCACTGACGACTTGATTAGTGAATTCCTTCATATGATCCAAAACAGCAAGAACTTCAGGCATAACATCCTTTCCATCAACTAATACAGGCTTTCCTGACTTATTACGCAATGCTGTATGCAATACTGCACGATCTTCGGTAATATTGATATGTTCACCACCAAACATTTGCTCACGAGCTTCTTTAAGTCCACGAGAGTTGGCAAGTTCTAATAACAATTTCCAAGCATCCTCTGTGATGCGATTCTTTGAGTAATCCTTTGATAAGGTTGAGAAAATTTAAATTTATTTGATGACGTAAATTATCAGCCGATTTGTGCAAATGCAGTAAATTACTTAAATTGTAAATAAAGGAAGTGCTTACCAATAAAATGTCGCCGTCATTTGGCGTTTTCAACACTAAACTAAATTTATCAAAGCGTTTTGGATCGTTGTCAAACAATTCTTTGATGTTGATCTTTGATCCATTTGCATTGTAATATTCTTGGATTTTCTGATAGGTAGCATCAGCAGTAAGTAATGGTTTCGACATGATTAAATTGACCTAATATTTGGATATAAAATTAATTATTTCCATCAATTTATTGAAATTTCGCCGGAAATTTCTTCAACCTTGACGTGACCTTTTTGAAAAAATTTTGTTGGCAAAAAAACTTTCCAATGAGATTTTTCCAATTTTCTTAATGAAGTTTGTCAAGTGTTTGAACAAGTTTTCAGCACCCATTATTTCTCAAAATCATGATAAAGTAATTACTTATCGACAACTCACAATAAACTTTTTAAAACGACAGCAAAGAAGTAAATTTCACCAACTGTCTTACTCGGCAAACGGCAATTGAATGAGTAGAATAAAAATAAACTGGAAGGAATGTAAACTCGACTTGATCAGGTAGAATTGTAGACTGAAAATGAGCAGAAAAAGCGCTTATAGAGTGAATTTCTTGAATAATCTAATTTTTAAACATAGAATCGAGCATGTTGTGGCTTAGATAAAGAGTTTGAAGCCATTCAGATAGCATGTCCACAAAATAATCTAATGTCAAAAAAATCAAAAGCCATAAATCGCAAAAAATGAAATATCTAATGCTGTCAGTTTAACTGACTTTAGGGCATTACCAAAAACTGACAGATTTACATTCAACCGTAGCGCTGCATACGCTATTTCGACATCCCGGAATAAAATTTAATCGCTAAGGATTTATTTTAAAATAATTGTTTTCGCGATATTTTCCGTTTCTTATCAATTTTGTTAACCCGAATGTATTTTAAACTGTTAATAAAATAAAATTTTATCATTATATGTTGGAGTGCTGGTCAAAAAGTGCCTTAAACGACTGAAAAAGTAGAGAAAATTTTTATGCGTCCATTACAAAAACAACGACAGGTGTAAAAATATTTCCTCAATGAATCAAACAACAAAAGATATGTACAGGAAATATTCAGTTGATAAATGAAAACTTTTGCTCAAATTACCATAAATTGGTGTAAAGTGATTGTGAAGTGTTAAGGATCAAGTCTCGAGTCATTCGAGGGCGAAATTTGCCCCGTAGACTACAGAAACAGAATCGAGAGAAGAAAAGTTGTTAACGAGACAGCATTTTTTTGTAGAAAAAAAAAAATATTATTTGATGGGAAAATATACATAACGAAGAATGGAAGAAGAAATTAAAAGTTATGCTAGCAACGGTAAGATATTTACACACATATTAATTCGTCTTTTTCTCTTCCCTCTTCTTCATGTCTCTTACATTGAATCACTTCTTAATAAATTAACATAATACGCAACTATAATTTAATTGCAAAATAGCATCATACTCTACATTATTATTGCCTTTGCTCTCACTCTCTTTCTCGAATCTCTGCTTATGCTGTATATATTTAGTATCTAATGTGTTGTTGTTTATGTGAAGATCTGGTTTAAAAACTTTTAATTTGTGTAAATGATATAAATGAGTTTAAAGCGTACACAACGGACGAAGAAAAAGAAGAAGTGAAAAAGTAAAGAGGAACGAGCATAAACAAATAAATACTCCCAAAAAAACATACAAAAAAGATAACAAATGAAATATTTTTTCAAGTGCAGTTGGGATTATTCAGTTGTGATGTCTATCAAGTTTTGAGGTGCTTTGTGTAGTGTTTTAGAAGCTAAAATCTTAGTATATATTTACTCTAGGTTTACAAGATGCCTAGCGTAGGTGTAGGTCTAGTGTATGACTCAAATTAATTGTAGGTCTATAAGTGTAAATGTATGAGTGAGATCTGAGCAGGGTTTGGAGAAACTTTTAACAGAAAACAGAAAAACAGCTGTTTTTCGACAAAAATCTGTTAACAGAAAACAGGTCTCAAAAACAGATCTGTTTTCTGTTTTTCATTTTTACATATAATTTACAGAAAAAAAAAATTTCTTAATTTTTTTGAAGAACTTAATATATTTTTCTAGAATTCCAAATTGAAATGTATTTGCTTTTTTAATATTTTTTGGATGTTTAATAGGTTTGAAATCATTATCAAATTTATGCTTAATCATTATTAATTTTGCAATCGAAATTTTAAAATTGTTGAACCTTTTGTAGCATTTACTAAAGTTCAAAAATATAATCAACAATTTTACAAGATATTTTTTATTCAGAAAGATTTTTTGAATATTTCAAATAAAATATTAGAGTTTATGGAACTTTTACAATACAATACAACAATACAATGTTACTTAAAAGTATAAATTTAAATAACAAAAAAATTAAGAAATACTAATGCTTAGGCTCTAAAATGTATGCTTAACTGCTTATAACCACCGAAAAGTTTCATTATCTTAGAGAAACACTTAGGATAACTCAGTTTATTTTGAATTCTAGAAAAACAGGAAAACAGCTGTTTTTAAAAATCAAAAACCGAAAACAGACTGTTTTTTAAAAACAGCTGTTTTTCACAAATCCTAGATCTGAGAAAGGAGGAGGTTTATATATGAACTTTGCTTAGGTTTACTTTAGTCATACATTCATGACTGGATATTAAATACTAGGGTATTCCCTATAGTGCTTTATGGTTTAAGTTTTCTCAAGGAATAAGCCTTATACGTTAGTTTGGTGTAAAAAAAATCCCATACTTAAAAGACATCACTATTGAATGACTCCAGTGTGCTTCTCTCTTTTTATGTGTCGCAACATTATTTGAGTTAAAAGCAAAAAGAACTTTAAGGCGATAAGTTTAACATTTCATTTATGTGATTCATTTTATTCGATAGAAATTGGTGAATCATCGAGAAACTACCATAATCCACCATCGATGCCGAAAATTAATGGAAATAATCCACATGTTGAGTATCAAGACGATGATGATTTAGGGCCACTTCCAATGAATTGGGAGAAAGCTTATACAGAAAACGGTGAGGTTTACTTTATTGACCATACAACGGGACAGTCACATTGGCTCGACCCGAGACTAAGAAAGTTCCAAAAGAAATCACTTGAGGACTGTGAAGATGACGAGCTACCTTACGGATGGGAGAAAATTGTTGATCCAGAGTATGGTATTTACTATATTGATCATGTGAATAGAAGAACACAATATGAGAATCCTGTGATACAAGCAAAACGTGCACTTGACATTAGACATCGATTAGAGTCTGCAACATCATCGAATTTCATGCCAGAAAATGATTTGCCTATCGAGCCTATGGAGCCTAAGAATTTCTTTACAAAAAATCCAGCAGAATTGCTGGGCGAGAGAATACAAACAACATTAGTTAAATCACAACGTGGTCTAGGATTTACTGGTGAGTCAATAAAAATTTCCGGTTTTAAATTAACTCATCGTGTGAAATTAATATTCTACTCTTTCTATTTTATAGTTATTGGTGGTGATTGTAACGATGAGAATATTGATGAATTTTTGCAAATTAAATCAATCGTAGCCAATTCACCAGCCGCCTTAGATGGAAAGCTCAAAACTGGTGATATTTTGGTATTTGTTAATCACATTTGCGTTCTCGGATTTACACATCACGAAATGGTCAATATATTTCAATCAATAATGCCTGGTGAGGAAGTACATTTAGATGTTTGTCGCGGATATAAATTGCCATTTGATCCAAGTGATCCAAATACAGAAATCGTCACAACTATTGCTGTAAATGGACTGAATGATGAAGTAGAAAAGAATCGACTTTTTCTTGACATCTTAAATGACAATTATAACTTCCTAGAGATGTCAAATGAACCTGATAATTTAAGTTATGGAAAGAATCAATCGATGGCATCAGTCAAGAGTTCGTTTGAGGTTCCAGAGATTCATGATATTATTATAGTAAAAGGTGATCAAGGCTTTGGTTTTACAATAGCTGAGAGTAATCTTTGGGGACAAAAAGTTAAGAAAATCTTAGACAGACAATGTTGTAAAGATCTTATGGAAGGTGATATTCTCCTGAGCATAAATAACATTAATATTAAAAACCTCACACATACTGAAGTCGTTCAAGTTCTCAAAGACTGTCCAAAGAATCAAGAGACAGTTCTGCGAGTTCAACGGGGATTAATAAGAAGCAGTTTAAATAAATTTAATGGTAAAGCTAGAGGAAAAATTGATGGTGCCAATAAAATATCACCAGGAACAGCGGGTGATAAACTCTCTATGACAAATGGATTATATCGTAGTAAAACGCCAACAGCTGATATTTATAGTACGCAACAAAAAGAGACATTACCAATACGTCCAAAAACTCCACTTGTTGATACGCGAACAAGAGTTCAAATGAAGACGCCGATACAGCTAAATGATTTGAATACAGACGATATTGAGCTTGATAGTAAATTAACAGATCATGATGATAATAAATCGACAATATCGACAGCAACAACCGCCTACGATACAACAAAATTACTCACCGAACAATTTGATAATTTTGCAATAAACGATCAGCGTAGTGACACCTACACAACAACAGATTCAATAACATCTAAAACAAGTGGCAACGGTGGAAGAAATCGTTTCTTTAGTCCAGTGGACATTAAGAATGGAAATGGTGATTACTATTATGCAAATTCAAATCACTCTTACTCACTTCCACCTCCACCATCAATTCCAATTTCTTCGTCAACATCGTCACAAGGCCGATATATTCAGCCTATTCAACCAATTCAGCCATTACAAAATCCATCAACGATATCATACCAACATCAGCCGCATGATAATTGCTTTTGTTACGACTGTCAAGATTATAGATTAAAACAAAATCAGCATAGCGAATATGTATCATCATCAAATAATACCTCGGATTATAGCTTATTACAAAATCAATTTAATTTGCCACCACAAATGAGTGATAATATTGGTCAACGTATTAATAATTATCTGATGGATAGAAAACGTAATGCCGGTGATGTATTTAGCTCGTATCATCCATATCGACCGAACGGAAATATCGTGGTATGAATTAGTGATGATAATTGAATTAAGTACTAAACTAATCTGTTCTAATAATCCACAGGATGATTTTTATTATGTAGAAGTAACTTTAGAGCGTCAAGCTATGGGATATATGAATAGCGATGGAAGTAAGTTAAATAGTTGATGAAAATTCTTACAGATAAATTAACATATAATCTTTTAATAAACAGCTCAAGCTAGAGGAACATTTGGCTTTAGAATAGTCGGTGGAACTGAGGAGGGCACACAAATCTGTGTGGGATATATTGTTAAAGATGGACCAGCTGATCGCGATCCACGTATTCAAACGGGAGACGAAATCGTCAACATTAACGGCGTCAATGTCGTAAGTATTCAGATTTACCCATAAATGACGTCTAGAGTCCAAAACATTAGACATTTTATTGAACTTCCTATTTAACATTTTTCTCATTCTTCAATAGGAATGTGCTTCACATCATCTTGTGGTTAAATTAATGAATGATGCAGCACTCCTTGGTCAAGTTACTATGCTTCTGAGAAAGAGAAAACCGCAAAATATGAACACATTTTATCGACCACAAAATTCTTATGAGAACCAAGTTATTCCAAATACATATGATGTTATCATCAATCGACAGGAACACGAGGGTTTCGGTTTTGTGATTATTTCATCGTCTAACCAATCCTCAGGATCAACAATTGGTGAGAACAATTAAACAAAGTAATAAGACTTAATTTTGATGCTTATGAATTCATTGAAATTAGGAAAGATAATACCAAACAGCCCTGCTGATAATGGACAGCTAAAGATCGGCGATAGAATAATTCGAGTTAATGATATTGACATCTCAAGCATGTCACACGGTGATGTAGTCAAAATTATCAAGGAATCAGGTTTAACAGTTCAATTAACAGTCAGCAATTGTACGCAAGCTAGGGCAACGGATTTCATCAGTGAAGTAAATAATTCGCCATTTAATACAAATATTAGCTCTAGTAGCAACAATAACCCACTAAATACCTTTCCAATGATAACATGATTAATGAGAGGCAAGTAGATGCATGACTAATAGCTTAATTTTCTTTCTTTATTAACAATTAATTAATTAATTTTAAGCAAATCTCTTTCATTTCAAATTAGATGATCGATACCTTGGATGTTATTTAAGGACAGCATGCTTTAATTGTTTACTAACACGAGATTCCATCTTGTTATAATAATTTGTTTTTACCAAAGTACTTATAGACATATCCTCAATTCGAATATCAAAACAAAAATTTAAAGAAATTGCCTTAAACTTATACGAAATTAGATTTAAAAAAAAAATCTCACTTTTTGGATATCGCAAAGAATGATTGCCAATAGATTGTTAAGGAAATCAACAGTTTTTAGTATATGCACACTTTTTTGGTGTTTAAAACAATTTGTAAAATTACGAATATAGTGCAAAAAGAAAAAAGAAAATCTAGGAAATAGAACTCTATAGAGCCTTATTAATAGTTAATATTTAAGACTGAATGACGAGAACGAGTGAGTGATGATAATTATATTATCATAAAAACAAACCTTTATGGGGATGATTCTTAGACGATATTGTTAGGAGGGGAAATCAAGGCGTGGATTTATTCAGGAAATTCTGTGTGCTTCTGATTTGGAAATCTTAAATGGTTCTTAATGATAGTTCTTCGTAAGCTTTGAGTTGCAAAATCCTTGAGTGATATTGAAATTACAGGAATGCTTCTAAACCTTAGTCACTCGTAGGAGCAGTGGCTCAAAGTGGCACTTCTAAATTAGGTACCTAATAGTAAGACAGGGAATTCCACTTAATTTATGAGATGCACATCAAGTTTAAAGGCATGGACGTTTTTTGGAGATGTATTAGACCGCTCCCCATCCACATTAATCAAAATTTTGCATGTAAAAATTTTTGTTTGTTTAAAATGTTACAAATTTTTGACCACTGAACCTTAGAAACGAGTATCCAAATGACTTTCCGTTTTGCATGTTTTTGAAGAAAAATCAGAATTTTGTAAGTGTTTGACAGCAGGGACTTAACTCAAAATTGAACTTAGAATCCCAAGTTAAGAATGTCCACGTCTTGATGACAAAAAAATTACAAGGTAACTCACGTTGCTCAACTTAATTTTGAATTTATGGTGTTTATCTGTTAAATGTTGTTACTTTTAAGCTCAAGATCGAACCTAATGACTTACAACGAAAGCATGTCTTTTGTTTTGTTTTTAAATTTACCAAGCTTCTTGTTTGTTGTGAAAATGGCACTTCCAAATTTAATAATAATACTCATATATCAATTTTTTAGTATTCAATGCACTTAAGCAACAAAGAATCTAAGTGTTTTAAAAATTGTTACAAATTTGTGTCATAGAAGCCTTGAAATCATCCCCTCATATATGTTATCTACAGCAGTATTCTCTTGAATATGAAATTGTAAATGTCAAGAAGAAAACAATCAAAAAATACTACGTATATAATCCAAGCATGTACCTATATTGTATTACTTAATTTCACATACTTAATCATTATGACTCTATTTACACAATCATTTATTGTCAAACTTGTACTTAAGCATATAGTTAGATTAGAGAATTGTTTTTATATATTTTATTTAGTAACAGACGCAAAAAAAACACACTCAAAAAGCAGAAAATAAGTTAAAATGTTCTTGTGTAAACAATTTATAATTAAAATAAAGTTGCAATCAAAAATTAATTAGTGAAGGATGTTTTTTTTGTGTTATTTTTATACTTAATTCCCATAAAACCGTCTCTCTCTCCCACAATTGTATCGAGACACAGCACACACAACAAAAAAATAATGTGCAAGTGCTTCAAGAACCAGCCAAGCGGAAACTCCTAAGAGAATTTCCAGCAAGAGATTCTCTTCGAGCGTGTTAAAAATACTACAATTCAGCATTTCCATTTGGAAATAAAAAAAAGTTTTCATTTTCAGTTGGCGTTTAAACATCGGAAAAGACGGTTGGAAAAATTATAAAGTTGGCATTAAATTGCACTATCAAAAAAATAAAAGAAGATTATTTCATAATTTCATGTGTAATAAAGAAGCTACATAAAGTTATTGAATGAAAGGAAAAATTATTTAAAAAAAAATCGAAGAAAAGAAAAAAGAAGAAATTTAAATGAAAGTTTTTCTTGCTCAGTACAGACGAGATAAGAAAATTCATTGTTAAAAGGAAAAGTGAAAATTCTAGTGCGATCGATTTGAATTAGCCAAGGATATACAAAAACCATAATAAATTCTAAAATTTGTAACAGCTTGGAAATTGCATAAGGTATTTATTTACTTTTACGCACATTAAGTGCATTAAGCAACCCTAAGCAGCAAAAAAAACAGATTTGAATGGAAAACCATAGCGCCATTCGATTCATTCATGTTTTTGACAGGGGATTGTGATCTATGGTATATTTGCGATGTTGCATAATGGATATTTAAAAAAGGTTTTTTGACGATTATGAAATAATGAGCGACTAGTTCATACACAATCTTATTTTATGGATTTATTGAGTTTTAATTTTCAGGATAATGGAATTAAATGTTTCTGATTCCTGATGATTCGATTTAAGGAACATTAACTATTGAAGATTTATTTAAGAATTTTTGAAACGTGAATTCTTAAATAATTGAAACAGATTCTAAAATAATCAACAAAAATTGTGAATCTTTGAACTTTGAAATATTTAAAAATTGAAGATTTTTCAGCACCAAATAAGAAAACTGGCAACAATTTAAATTCTCAAAGCTTCTTACATTTCAGTTTAAGAATGTTCTAAAAATTCAAGCAAGCACTCAAAACATCCACAAACTTCTTCACAAAAATCCATCATAACACACAAAAGAGTCAGACCATTTACTGCAAGTTATGTGGCCCCCTCGAATTTCTTATAACATTTCATAGTGTGGTTCATGGTGCCTTCTTATGTGCGATTGTTAAACAATATACCACACACTTAAGTTGCGTCATAATTAAAACACATTAATGCCGCTTTTTGCCAAAGATTTCATGTCTCAGTGATTTTAAACAATTGACTCAAAAACAACACATTCATCAAAGAAAAGAAATAAAGTGCTTCTTTGAATATCAATAGAAAGGAAGGTAAAAGAAGAGAGAAATGCATGTCTATGAGTTTCAATGTTTCCTTTCGTGCATTATTGAATGAACTTGCATTTGAAAAATATTCAATTTTTATATTTTAACAAGGTTTCTCTCTGACTATATCTAAAGATGTTTATTGCCATCATGCTAAGCAGCAGATGATGGAAAATCCGAAAACTTTCACTAATCCAATATGAAAAGCTTCTATGCACATACATTTGATTACAATGAATGAATCCACATTACTAAGTACGTTGATAACAATGGCAATATTAACGGTTACAGTCATGATGTAATAATGAAGTAAGCAATTTTATATATTTGACAATTCAATTCTGACATGATTGTTGACTACACCAAAAAAATAAATATAAAGACTGCGTACATTGTGGATATTTAATGAATGCAATAAGAAGTAAACTTGCATTTTAAATTCAATGCATGGAAAAATCGCTTTCCGGAATATTTAATTAAACTTATTTTTTTTATAATTGAGGAAGATGAAGTACATAAAATTGTCATGCGATACATATCTATTGAGGAGAAGTCCAAGGATGGCAGTTAATTATCAGATCTAATTAATTTTAGATTAATGTTACGAATTCAACAATGTCTAGTCTACATAATTGCGATTCAATGCTGCCCATTATTCCATTATGATAGAGAATTAATGAAAAAAAGTTAACAAAAATTGAAATGATTACAATTGAATTCAATTGATAGAACTCAATGGAACCGTACCAATCGTATAAAATAAGAGTAAATAGCTGCATGATTTGAATAAACATATGAAATCACTGCTGTAATGTATGCCGAAACATTTGAGAAGGTTTTTCGGTACATAATTGATCAATTACAATAAGAAGTTCACAAGATACATGACTAAGCATTTAGTGCTCTATAGTCTGTGATCTACTGGAAGGAAAATTGTTTTGTTTCGAAAGGAAAAGTGTAATTTAATGAAATTCATTGATTAATCGTGATTCCGGTGAAAGAAGAAGTTTTCACTTGAACTAGATGCTCTCAATGAATTTTTCATTATCAGATTGTGATCTTTAACTGTGCGAATTTAGTTTAATTAAATTATTTTGCATTACTGAATGTTTTTATGTAAAATTTGCAGATTTTACTCACTTTTGGAGATGTTTCTCAGGCAAACTGCATTTACTTTAATTAATAACTTTTAGAATTACTTAAGATTACAATTTTGAATGCTGTACTTTCTTCACAATTTGACTAGTTTTATGTCATGTTTACTGCGAATGCAAAAACTCAATGAATTTTAAAACTTCAAAAATACGTTACATTTTATAAAACTTCACAAAACGTAGTAGAACAACGGAAACCATTAAGTTCTTGGCATGCATAACATACTTATGATACGATGAAAGAAGAAGATGAGGAAAGAATAAATGTCGTTTGCGGATTTTCATGTTTTATCTGCAAATCATCAAGTTAAAATCTAGAAAATGCGACAAGCAATAAAAACTATACACAGCATTCCCGTTAATAGCAGCGAATCTAAGAATGTTTACCGCAAGAAGAGAAGCTGATAAAGACATTATGCTTTCTCATTTGAATTTCGTCTCTTAAATGTTTTTCAACTATTTTTTACCACGTTTTTCTTTTTTATTAAACCCAAGAAAGTTTTTAAGTTTTTTTGCGAATTTTTCATCTCCCTTGCCTCTTCTTCTTCTTCCGTTTACAAAACGTTTACGTTTGATGACAATCACAACAATCGAGACAATGATCATGAAAATTACTCCGTCTAACGATGTTAAAAAGCAGAGCAAAAATGAAAATGTGTCAAAGATTATGGTGAATGAACAGTTTTTCCTCATAATAGGGTCGCGACATGTAGACATGCAGTAAGACAGAATAAGAAGGCTGAAAAGAGATGAAAGAAAACGGAAAAGAATGCAAAATATGAACACAAATGGGGGTGTGCATAAATGAGGTTTAGCTGATGTTGACATTTTTGGATGGACGCACACGATCAGTTCTGAAAATTTTGATGAAATTCTCATAAATTCTATTTTCTGAAAGACATCATTTTTAAACAAGCTCCATCCAACAGCACCCGTAGTAAAATTCTGTTTCTCTTTCATATTTTAATTCAGAAAATAAAAGTTCAAGCTCAACAAAGCGAATAAATGTTGCTGTTGAGGAAGGTTCCATCAATGACGGTTATTTCCTATGCATATAAGTATATGCTGCTCGTGTTTATGAAAACACATCATTTATGCAACAAAGACTTATGGTTTGAAAATGATTTATGCAGCTGTTTTGAAAGATGTTTTTATGGTGTATGTAAAAATAGAAAATTTTCATGTGCAAAAATATCAATCTTACGAAAATTCGTTACTATTTCTGCTGACTTGATTTTGTTTGCTAACAAGACATGATATTGGAGGCAATAATATAAAATTAAAAGGTGTGAACTTCTTTGAAGAGTGTTTATTTGGATTATGATAGCAATTTGATAAGATAAGATTACTGGAAGCAGTAATCGGTAAATGACTTAGATAGGATTGAATTGATTTTATTTCTTTTCGGGAAAATTGATTTGATGAGTCAACCTTGGTTTGAGAATAATGATGAATGGAATCGCAGACTTGTAAATACAAGATTCAATCTAGTTGAAGTTTTATGTAGTAGTCAGCTAAGGGGCTGTTCACTTATGACGTCAAGGGGGGGGGGGGGGGGGGGGTCAGACAGGAAATTCATTGTTCGTTTTTGAAAAATGACCGTTAATTTCGGACGTCATAATTTGACAACCTTGAGGGTTGCCTTAAATGCACATTTTACACCAATCATCATAAGGTTTACAGCAATTCCAAAAATTGGCGACACTAATAACATCAAATATTTTTTACTTTCAGGCTTTAATGAATGCCATTCAAACAAAAGCCTCCCAATGTCTTTACAATCAAGCATAGTCTATTGCTATTGTTTTATGATTGACAAAAAGTAGGTGCATAAGAAAAAAAACCCGACATAACATATAAAATTTAAGAAGCAACAGCAAAAAAGATTGCATCAAAAAACACAGAAATATAAAAAATAAGAAAAAATCAGCACATAAATATAATAATGATGATTATGAATCGAATGGAGAACAATAGGAGAGGAGATGAAACGAGAGTTATAGTATTATTGTTACTGTTTTTCACGCTAAGCACATGTTTAGTTCAAGGCTATGTAGATACAATATGTCCTCCACAAGAGCTCATTTTGCCATGCAGATGCTCACAAAAAGGTTCCGAGCTACAAATTTGGTGCTCGCATTCTGACCTGCCACGAGTCTTGAATGGAATCAAGTCAACATCAAAAGCAATTAATCGTCCCATTGATGAGCTCATTTTGGAAAATAATTTCCTCCCATCACTTCCCGGTCGAGCTTTTGCACAGTTACAAATTACACGATTGATGTTGAGACATAATGGCTTGGAAAGATTATCTTCAGGATGGCTTAATGATGTTGAGAATAATTTAGTTGAAATTTTTATTGTCGAAAGAGGCTTACGGAGCATTCCGATTGACAGTTTATATGGATTAAGGAACTTAGAGGCTATAACAATTCAAAGTGAAAGTATGAAGAGATGTCCTGAATTTTCTGGTCTTTTAAAGCTGAGATACATTAACATTGAAAGCTCATCCTTAATTGAGTTATCTCCACTTGGATTCCGTGACTTGCTTGGATTAGAATCTGTAACAATTAATGGCAATAAAGGACTTACGAGGCTAGAAAGTCAATTATTTACAGACTTGCCAAAACTCAAAGCAGTAAATTTACAAAACAACGGAATTGCATGGATTCATCTAAGGACATTCTCTTCCGGACTTCAATCACTACAAACACTTGATATAAGCCGTAATCGTATCATAGATGCTGGAATGGTTGGACGCGCAATTAAAGATTTGCGAAATTTGGAAGTGCTTAATTTAAGTCATAATTTTATTGAGGTTTTAACTGAGGCAAGTTTCGTTGATTTACCAAGCTTAAAAGAGCTCAGACTCGATCACAATCTCTTACAAGAATTACATCATGGAGCATTTCATCGTGTACCATCTCTTAAAGTCGTTCATTTGGAAAATAATCGCTTGCGGCATGTGAGTATTACATTCTCTTTCTCTTAGTCTCAGTTTCATCAGCTCATAAATTATTTCCTCATTTTCCATGCTTAGGTTCATCCCGAATCATTTTTGATGTCATCAGGTCGTGGGATTGAAATCATTTATATCCAAAATAATGATATTGAGAGAATTGCAGAAGTACGATCAATCCTTGATGCCTTACCAACACTTCGATATCTTGACTTGAGCAATAATAAGTTGACGGAAATTCCTTTTGGTGCTTTGCATGGTCATGGAACGTTGGAACAATTACAGTTGGATGACAATCAGTTGAGATTAATTGAACGAGATGCTATTATGGCAATGCCTTCACTCAGAGAATTGAGATTGAGAAATAATAGCTTGACAGATTTACTTCCAATGCCGTTTTGGAACTTACCTGCTCTTAAAGGTATGAAAACTTTCAATTTCTTAATTTTGAGCTTATCCTATCCCTAATTACTAGAAATTTCATTAAGATCCAAATTTAATTCCTGAATATTAATGTTTCATTACACAGGCCTTGACGTATCCTTTAACAAATTCAGACGATTGGAACCGATTTTCTTCGTCGGACTTCCTTCATTAAGACGATTTGATATCAGTGAAAATTCCCTATCCTACATTGATCAGAATGTCTTCAAGAACTCTCCAATGCTGGAAACAGTCAACATCTCAGTAAACGAACTCTCATCAATTGACCGTAACACTTTTGGATCTCTGACTAATCTCTTTGAATTGGATGCAAATAACAACAATTTAAAGGAAATGATTTCCGGTCTACCGCGCGCAATTGAAAGGGTCAGCATACGAAACAATCAAATCGTAAATCTTGCAGCAACACCACACACATTTGATCTTCCGAATCTCCGCATGATTGACTTGAGTAGCAATGGATTGTCACATGTTCGTCAAGTTTTTACAAGAAGCCCTCAATTGAGGGTGATTCATTTGGCAAAAAATAAATTGACCTCAATCGACGAGACTAGCTTTTTGGGACTTAACCATCTAGAGCAATTGAATCTTCAAGATAATATGATTAATTCTATGCATGAAATGAGTACGGCTGGAATGAGTAATTTGATTGAGTTGAATTTACAAGGCAATCGTTTACAAATATTTCATGACAAAATACTTGATAATACACCAAACATGGAACGACTCGACTTATCACGAAATAATATAATTGAGGTCATGCCGAATGCATTTCGTAAATCCAGATCACTACAGAATTTAGATTTGTCTGGAAACTCATTGAAAGAATTGCCTGAAAGTCTCGATAACTTGGCTAATCTAAAAGATATTGATGTCAGTTTTAATAATATTGGACTTTTAGACCCAGAAGTCATTAAATCATGGAGAAATTTAGAAGAATTCAGAGCATCAAATAATAAAATTAAAGAAATTGTTCAAGAAAGCTTTAAGAATCTCCCGAACTTGCAATACATTGATCTTTCAAGCAATGATATAGCCACGATTCATCGAAGTGCTGTAAGAAACTTACCAGAATTACAGGAAGTAGTTTTGGCTGATAATCGACTTGCTGAATTGAGGGAAAGAGCTTTTGAAGATCTACCAAACTTACAAGCTGTTCATTTACAACAAAATAATTTGAGAATGGTATCACCAGATACCTTTTATAACTCTCCATCTATTTTGTATTTGAACTTATCAACTAATCAATTCCGTCATTTGGAAAACTTAAACTTAAGAAATGTTAAGAATTTGGAGGTGCTTGATCTGTCAAACAATGAAATTCGAAGAGTTTCTTCTCATCCATTAAGAGGACTCGATTGGCTTGTTGAGTTGAAATTGAATGATAACAGGATTTGTAAGATCCAGGTTCGTTAAATTCAATTAAGTAGAATAATAGGGTATCTAATCTTTGTATATATTTCAGGGTGAACCATTTTCAGCAATGCCTAGGTTACGAGTTCTCAATTTAAGGAACAACAGAATGGGTCGTTTGCATGAGACTAATTTCAGAAATCTTAGGAGCAACATTGCCATTCTAGATGTCGAAGGAAATCCAATTGACTGTTCTTGCGATACTTTGTGGCTTAGAGCATGGCTTCAAGAATCAAACTCATTACCTGGACCGGTAAAAAACTTATTTTTAAATCATCAATTCCCTAATCCTAACTTAACATTTCCACAGAGCTGCCGTGATGGAACAAGGTTACGAGATTTAGATTTAAACAGACAGAATTGCAACCCAGATCCTGATCAAGTATCATTAACAAATGAGCATGGTGACATGTTCTTAAGAAGCAATGATTTTGATGATTGTGGACCAATAAGTGGTGAAGGATATGAAGAATTCCCACCAAATATTCAACCATACTATAACAGCAATCAAAGACCATCTCCAGCGGAGAGTGACTACTTTTATGATCAATATGTAGATTTCCCAATTAATGACACAATCAACAATTCATTGAACAGTTCAAACTTGAGACTTAATCAAACAAATTCACCTTATATTGACTTTAATCAAAATAAATTTACACTTAATCAATTCCCACCAACACCACCACAACCGACTTCAGCATTTACATTTTTCGGACAGCCATTGCCAAGTTTGAATATTGGAAATATTTGGGGACAAGGAAGAACTGCTAATACACGTGCAACATCTGGAGAAATGGGACCAACACGTGGAAAAGGAAGAGTTCAAATATTCAAGCCAGGCGATCCGGAACTTCAAGTTCTTTTCAATCGACCAAATAATGATTTAGGCTCAGTTGATTCTAAGATTCGTGAACCAGCAGCTTCAATTAAAAATCCAATCGTCAATCCACCACTGAACAAAATAGAAGAAAAGCTTTACAGACCATTTTTCCAAACTCCATTCTCACAGCCCAAACTTGAATATTCAAAAGAGTCACATGACAAAGGATTCTCACAGCCTAAACCAGAAAAAGGATTCTCACCAATGATTCCAGGTGTTAGCGTGGGAGGATTCATTCCAATTGATGACCCAGCTGTTAAAAATGAAAGTGTAAAAATCCACAAAGACAATAGGTATGAAGAAAGCACGACAAAATTGAATGTGGAAGAGGAAAATATTTTGAAGCAAGTTCCGCTCGTGACTAAAGCTGATTCAGCGACGAAGCGAACAATAATAAAGACCCCGGAAAATTATATAGCTCAAATTGAAAAGGTTGTCCTAGATAAGGTTGGAACTACAACAACAAGAAGTCACTTGACAACATCCATTTCTCCTATTTTGTCGACACTTTATCAGAAACCTGAATTGATCACTGAGAGATCACATTTTGAGGAATCAACGACAAATGATTCGGAAAGTGAAGAATCCTCCCATGAGAATGTCCCGCAGAATAGCAATAAATACGATAAATTTAGCAAGTTCGAGGAACCAGTGCGATCACATTCTCAAAATGAACAATTCCGATCTAATACTCAAAATGGTCAGGTTCGATTAAATAATTCAAATGATCAATTTAAATCCAGCACCAAAAATGAACAATTCAGATCCAATATTCAAAATGAACAGTTTAGATCCAATACTCAAAATGAACAGTTAAGACCCAATATTCAAAATGATCAATTTAGATCAAACACCCCAATTGATCAAGTAAGATCACATTCAGCAGAAATAATTCGTTCAAATACCCCAGAAATAATTCATACATCTACATATCCATCAAGTACATCAACATTTAACTATCAGACATCTACAGTTACTTCTACAACTACAGCATCGATTGAGACTTCATCCACAGATTCACACATCAATGATGATGAAAATGGAAGTTCTGAACTGTCAGCAGATCACTTAATAGCTCCAGGAAGTATAATAACACAACATGATGTGACCAGCAATAAACCAACATTGTCAATTTCTAAACCAGGAAAGATTACAAAAGTTTTCACACCCGCACCACCCATATCCAACAGTAATGAAATTTCAAAACTATTGAGTCCATTTTACTCACAACAACAGTCAACGGAACCGGCAAATAACTATGACAATGAGTTTCAACCAAATAATAATGTTTATCATAAAACATTTGACGACGACAGAGAGATAAGCTCAGAGAAATCAACTGGACAGTATGAGCGTGAAGATATGCAATGGTACTTCCAAAATTACCACAACCAAACACATTCAAGTCCAATTTTAAATTACAATTTACAACCATATGATAATAGCGCCTATAACTCATCACCTGTTTTAAGTTTATCATCTAAATTGATAGCCCTGATTGTGATAACATTTTATTTTTCGTTTTAGATATTATTAATTATAGTTCAAATTTTAAAAATATGATTGATTTTGTTCGCAAAGAGAAAGATATAAAGAGGGGAGAGTTGTTCATTAATTGATGTCTGATATCAACCAAAAGCTTTCTAGAAGAGGCGTAAATTTGGGGGAATGATCCAAAACGTTTAAAGGCATTTTGAGAAACATAAGAAATTGTGACTATGCCAAATATTCATATGGACAATAATGATGGCTAGCTTGTAGATAAGAAGTTTGTTTCAGACGAGATATGAGTTCCTGACGATGAGGGAAAAAGCTGTTTTAATGCGGTGTGAACCTTGTTGGTCATGCAATTTTATAATCACCATTCTTAGATGCTTAGCTTCTTCTTTCCTTTTTTTTGGAACCCACCCATTTTAAAAGTACCAAAATAAGCTAGTACCAATACCAACAGACATAATAAATGAACGACCTCCCAAAACAATCATCTTTCCTGTAAGTTTGTTTAATTCTTGTGTAAATGTAAATAAAAATTTTATAGTAAAATTCATTAAGGATAAATAAAAGATCAATTGACTTTTAAATTCGTTTCCTTGTGCTTAATTTTGTGTATATAATCTTTACATTTATTAAGTATAAATCTTAGTTTTTTGTCTTCATTCATTTAACTTTTTAGTGTCTCACAACGATTAATTTTATTCATCGTCTTCCCTTCAAGAAAAGATTCAAAAGGGCAGAACAGAATTATCGTGTGCAAAAATATATTTATATATAGTTTAGAGTTTTCATCTTTACATGACATAAAATACAAAAATATGGCTCAAAAATACGTACGTTATGCAAATAAAAAAAACTCGCACTTTTCATTCAATTGGTGAAGGCACAATAAATTGTTAATTTACATATTTTTTTATTTTTAAACAATCATGTAGAGTGATGATAATAAGTTCAGCTTGGAGAACAGCATCTTCTTTATTATTTTAAGGCAATGGAATCTTTACTTGAACGTATGACATCGGGATGTATCCTGTTCGTCCACTGCTAAGCATTCCTTCATACCAATTGTCGTCGACACGTGATAGCAGCCTTAAAGTGTCATTTTCCTGTGAAAGTAAGGAATGAATAGATTTTTAAAAAATTCGCGGGTTGATAGCTTGATGTCATCTTTGAATAATAGCTAAAGTAATTTAACAATCTAAGCACATAAATTCTAAAATCTTGGGCTTCATTAGTAGAGAAACAGCAAATATCGATTTAAAAATTTAAAACTTTCATTTACGGTCAGCAAAAAGCATACAGAATATCGCACATCTGTTACGCGACAATATCTATGTAAATTACATTTTCATTCCTTTCGTGTGACGGAAGCTCACATATCATAAATGAAAGATCTCGACACTAACAAGGTCTATGACATTGAAAAGGTTTACATGGTTCAAGATCACATGTTAATTTGCATAAAATTCTGTTCTACGACTGACTGAGTCATGACTCGTGATGTTTGCAACTTTATTGGCTTGATGCTTAAATCATTATGTGATGTAAATTAAGTTTACAACTTAAGTCTTAATAGTTGTGCTTGAGCAGCACTGCTTAAGCAAAATCTACCCCAAACTCACCTTAAATGACAATTCACCAGGATTTTCAGCATCAAAGTCGTATAAGGCCACACAATGAGGATAGGCACTCGATTGTTGAGTACGCATATTATTATTGAAATTATTAATTAAATTAACTGTCGGTTGAGGCTGCGATAAAAGAATTGGATTGGAAATTGTTGGCTTGACTGTGAAAAATATAAAACAGAAATTAGAAAATTATTGCACAAAATGGGAAGCTTCAATGGAATTATTTTAATGAAAATTAATGTAACACATTCAAAGCTATTTCTTACGAGACGAAAAGTGCATTTTTTGCATTTAAAAAATCATTAAAAATTATTTTACGATAATTGCATATAATATCCATCACCATGTGTGTGGGAACAAAAAGAGTATGAAGAGCAGTAACAATAACAAAACATTTCATTACTTCGATGAATAGACGACCATAGTATGTATGATGACAGAGTATAAAGAATGAAAAGGCTAAATTAAAAATGAAATAAAGAATTCTATTGTGCAAATTGTGTGCATAGATAAAATAGTGGAAAGAATAGCAAAGTACCTGACCATGGATCATCGAATGGATCAAATGGGTCAGCAGATTGATTGGAATGTCTATGATTCGAATTACGATTATTGATTGAATTTGAGCGGCTGTATGTGCTGCTTGATGTGCGCGAAATCTGTCTTGACAAATTAACTTTTTCAAATGTCTGCTTATTTGGGTGAAAGGACGGTGCGCGATAATTGTTGTTATTGTCTTCCCAAGCTTGTAGCCACTTGTCCGAATCACCCGCAGACGTTTTAGGTGAATTTATATTATAATATTGGCTATTATTATTATTGTTATTATTGCTATTATTTACAGTTTGATAACGTGATCCTGAAGATGTGGACGAAATGTTTGATTGCGAGCCGTACAATTTACTTGCACGACTTAAATTATTATTATTATTAATATTATTATTGTTCAGATTGGAATGCTTATAGGAAAGATTTGAAGACGAAGTTGCTTTGAATCTGTCAAAATTATTAAGACGCGCACCATTACTGTTGTTATTCTGTCGATCATTATTGCTTCCAATCGAGAGTGAGTCTATATTCAAGTCCGATAATGTTGTTGGTATGAATTGTTTCTTGGGTCGATTCATTGCTTCTGATTTTCTATATTTATCATGCACGAGTAGGAAACAAGCGAAAATAAAACGTTTTAGTCAAAAAAAAAAAATCATTTAAAAAATTGATAAGAACAACTCACTTCTCATAAAGTTTGCTAGTTAGTTCTTGCATAATCTCGGCACATTGTTGATAATAGGTCATAAGGCTTTCCGAAAACACAGCAAGTTGTGAAATTAACTCAACATCATTTTCCAATAAATGATGCATGCTTGTCGATGCATTATGAAGAGATTCACGAAATTTATCCTGTGCCATGCGAACCTCATCATCTGATATGCCACCTTTAAGCTGTTTTCGTCTCTTTCCATCGTAGTCCAAGCGACGATTTGAAAGTTTCTTTCGATGATGCTGAATGTAAATATGTTTAAAGAGTTTCAAATATTGATGAATTCATTATGTGGCATATAAAGCATGTGTGTGACTTACCAAAACTTCTTTAATATCGCTATTTTGTAAATGCTGAAGAGGCTCGAGGAAATTCTGTTTGACATTATTATCTAGTGAATATTTTACATCAGCTATTTGCTTTAGTGACTCGCCAGTCTCCATTAAAGCCGATCCGAGCGGATCATCTTCACCTAATTTCTTCCCATGACCTGTCATTGCATTTCCTAATATGCCTTCCGTTTGTGGATATTGAGCTTTTTGTGCCTGACTTCCAGACGACAACTTTATTGCGACCATTTTCGCTCGTGCTGCCGGATTTGGTTGGAGAAATTCTTTCGTTTTGGTTTGTAAGTCATCGACCATATCAGCTGTTGCGTCGGTTTTCTTCTCCATCTCCGTATAATCATCGTTAAACTTTGATTTTTCTCCATTGAATACTTTCTCGGTGATTAGCTGCATTTATAGAATATAAAACATTATTTATGGGCCATGCCGCTATGCATCATTCATGGAATGACCAAAATACGCGAAATAAATTCAATTATAATTAAAGATGAAGATCCAAAAGCATCAATTATGAGCGACAATTAAAAAACAAGTTTCAAAATCAGTTTACACATATATGGGGGAACTGTTTCTAATTATAAATACATACAGTAACAAGATCACTTGCAGAGATATGGAGCCTATCTTATTGATTTCTAAAGTTTTTATTTTCATGAATTATGCTTAAATCTTATATTCTTTAAGTTTTAAAAACTCCCACAATTAAAATTTCTGACATTGTGTGATAAAGAGAAATAGAGATAATAGCTGTAGAATCGAGAATGTATTGAGAAATTGCACAAGGTCGACAAATCAGCAAAAGTATTAAAACTTGTTTTCTTTCTGGATGTTTTATCGTTTAAGACTTTACTGGATGTTTTCATAAGGCATACCTGATTTGCGATATTCAGTTGTTTTGATATCTTTGCCAATGCCATGATCTGCTTTTTATTTCCACTTGAGCTACTCCACTTATATGAAATTGACTTTAATTAAGATATTTTTTCCTCCTTCACAATAATTTTTTGGAATTTTATCATTAAATCACTGTATATTTATATAACGATCACTATTCACGAATTGAGACAGTTCCAGGCTTTTTAATTACAACAGAAATTAACACAAATTCACTTGATTACACACTTAATTTAATAAAATTAATAAATTGGAATAACTCATAATTTTAAGTGTAGCCTGATTGATACACACCGAAATTTGAATTTCTTTTAACCGTTAATCTATCTTTGCGCAAGAGACAGCTGGAGATGTATTTTTATTATTTTCACTTTCTTTTCACTTTAATAATGGAGTTATGGTGTTAATTAAGCTAATTTTGAAGCCTGAAAAGCTTTTTTAAAGATTTTTATTTTTAAATTTCTAACGTAATTTAAAAATTTGAATTTTTTTAAATTCTCAATGTTTGTTAAATGTTTTCTGCATAAAAAGTTGAAAATAACACATGCAAGAAGATTAATTAAAGCTTAATAAGTGAATTATAAATAAAAACAATTAATTAAAAGCCTAATGAGCCTGATAAGAAGGTCAACATTCATAGAAATTGATAAAGACATTTTCAAAAAATTAACAATCTTTTAAAATTCAAAAATTGAATTGCTTTAGACCCCGATGACAATGTTTCGCAAACATCACTTGTGAACAACCCATTTTCTGTTTGAGAGAAAAAGTTTGCGAATATAAAATTGATTAATTAAAGTATAAAGAGCTAAGAAAATATCTAGAAAACAATAAGGAAAATGCCTTCTGCAAACGTTGAACCTTTAAAAGTTGAAGTGGTGCCTCCAAAACCATCTGATGAGGCAAAAACAAATGAAAACCCTCAAAAAGATATGGAGCACAATGGAGAGAAAATTCCACCAATTCAGCAAGTTCTACAGATTATTCAGAATAAAGTTCGTAATTTAGAGAAGCGTAAGGTATGTAATTGATTCTTTTTAACTTAATTAAACACATCAGTTTTAAACAATTGCGGTTTAATCTGGAAAATTTGCATGTTTCAATATGGAGTCTATTGCTTTATGTGCTGGATGTAGGAAAAAAATAGCGTGTTGTTGCAAAAACTAGTAAAAAGATCGCCAGTACTTTGGATCTGTGCGACTTTAGCGTATTTTCCCGTAAAGATCAGTAAACTAAGTTATAACTCAAAAACTTTAAGATCCTTAATATCTCGTACTAGATCCGTAATAATTCGTGCCACATCCCGAATAGTTCGAACCAGATCCTTGGAAATTTGTATCAGATTCTTATAATCGTTCGTACCAGATTATTATAAAAGTTCGTACCTGATACTCAATAGTTCGTATCAGATCCTAAATACTCTGTATCAGTTCCCAAATATTACGTCCCAGTTTTGAATCTGTACGTCTGGATTCTAATTGTAAAGATTCGGAAGCATTTAAATCATGTCCGGAATCAAAAACAAAAATAAAGTAACACTTGAGTTATGTCCAGCATCAAAAAACAAAGATCCAGTAGCACTATAGTCATATCCAACACCAAAAACGAAGACTCAGTAGGATTCAAGTTTTTTCATATTTAAACTTTTGACGGCTTTTTCGAATTTAAAATCATGTTATAAATAAAGTCGGTTAAGCCGTAGCAAATAAATAGAAAAGTTAATTTAATTAAGTTTTGGTATGGAGTTATAATTTAATTGCCGAGATCTTACTGTATCAGCCAGCCAAAGTGAATATAAAAGCGTATTGTTCCAATAAGAAAATATGCTAAAAAGAATCACCTGTACTAATAATTTTTTTTTGTCTTCTTTATCTCTTTAATATATTTCCAACTTTTCTAGAACAAATTGGATGGATATATGAAGGAGGAAGAGGATGGAAAGGAATTGAGTAATGAACAGAAGAAGGCAGTATTGAAATATGAGGAAGTTGTGTCGCAACTTGGCATATCAAAGGAGTTTTGTAAGCAATTTCAAGTGATGGCTACGACTGCAGCAAAGGAACAGAAGCGCTTAGAACGAAAAGCAACCTTTATCAAGCAAATGCAAGAGACCAGAAAAGTTCGTGAGGTGATTATCATTCAGGACATTTTGAGGCAATTGAAGAATGAGGAGATTCGAAGCGATTTTCTTAATGCTCAAAACGGTGCATGTTTGGTTGAGGCAAGTGAGATGGATGTTTTGGAACTATTCTCAAAACATACAATTCCTGTTCATCCAATGTATTCGAATGAGCCATCATTTGTGAATTCTGCTAAAACGGCTGCAGACTTACTTAGTTTTGTGGTTGATGGACGTAATCGTCAATTTTTGGAAACCGGCTTTACTTTCGATAAAATGAAGGAAATATTTACTCGCATTCAGACTTGTGGATACTTTGAAACAGACATTAAGATTGTGGAAATTGAAGAACGTCCACCAGAAAGCGCAACTCCACAGTCTAATACTGATCTCGATTCTAAAGATGAAAATGCCATCATTGAGGATGTTATTTTAGAACAGCCAGCAATTAATGCACCTTCAATTCCATCAACATCATCGTCACCGTCTAATGCTGCTGCTAATATTATGCCACAAGCACCTTTACCTACACAAGTTCCAAATCCAACTCAATTATTTAATGGTGGCAATAATGTTCAAGGAATAAATGTTATGCCTGTTATGCATGCTCCAATTCAAGTTATTCCTCAGCCATTGCCAATGAAGACGACCGTCACAGCTGTCGAAAATGCTTTTTATAACCAAATGAAGTATTCACAACCACAACAATTAAACCAACAGCCTCAAGGACCAATGATTAACAACAATATTAATGCAAACGCTAATAATACTAATAATATTAACAATAATAATAATAATAATATTAATAACAATGGAAATAGTAACAACGAAATGCAAGTCGTGCCACCGAATCGATATATTGAGGATTTTGCATCGTCAAGTATCTCATTCTTGCAGGATTCGCTCGTAGAACAAATTCAATCTGGATCTCAATCACCTCAACAAAAGATACCACCCAATATGTTGAATCAGCCGCCCAAACATTCTAATATTCAGCAGCAGCAGCAGCAACAACAAGTCATTTCAACGCAAACGTACTCGAGTCAAACTTATAATCCTCCTCAACAATCGGCACCCGTTCAGCCTCAAACTACTCACAATTTCCCGCCTGGTCTCAAGCTTCAACAACAGCAACAACAAGGAAATGCTTCAAACATTCCAGTTAGTTATTCTCAACAGCATCAACCGTCATCACAAACGCAACAAGCTCCAATTAATTCAATTCCTCATCAGGTACCAGCACCTCAAAAGCAGCAACAGCATTTAATGTCGAAAGAATCGACGCCACAGGAAGCACCACATTTTCAAAACATTGTAGCAGGTTCCGTTCAGTATCAGCAACAAATGCCAACTAATATTCAGAATCTCCAAGATGTAGAACAGAAAGCTTTGAATGCACATCAACCAAATGTTGATGTTCCCAGTGATAAACCGACTAGTGAAACTCCTGATCGTAAGATGCATGCCGTAGACAAGGAAAATAATCGAAGTAACGAATGGAATCCTGTCAATAATCAGCAGCAACCCCAAATTGATACTTGGACTAATGATAATTCTGGAGGAACTAATGCTGGCAGTGGCTATAATCGCTTCACACGTAATCGTGGTGCTGGAGGTGGTCCGAAATACAACAATTATCGGTAAGTTATCTGCACTCAATTGAGCTAGTATGGGTCCTCGATTTGAGTAGATTCGATTTGAATAGATTCGATTTGAGTAACGAAAATTAATGAATAGAAAATTTAAAAAACATTTTGTAACGGACATTTTTCATACAAAAAGTAAATTCGATTTGAGTAGATTCGATTAAATAGGATTTTTCTATAACAAAACACCTACGCAAATCGAGGACCCCCAGTATTTGAAAACCTATATAATTTGAAATTCTGAAAACAGTTAAAATTTGAATTCTTAAAAACAGTTAAAAATAAATTCTGTTAATTTTATAGCAACTCGCAAGTTCCAAGGAACAACTACAATAATGAGAACGGAGATGCTAATAATCGCGATGGAGGTCCTACAACCTTCTTCCGTAATAATGAACGTTATAATAGTGGAAGTGCAGGACGTTATAATCATAACAATGGAAATAATGTCAGTGAACGTGGAAACTTTAATAAACGTGACAATTATCGTACTGGCGGCAGTGGTCGTTTTTCATCATCAATGGGAAGCTCTAATCCTGTTCAGCGCAAATGAATAAGGGCTTTATCGTCTAATAATAAGAAAAAGTAACAATGAGAAAGAGAAGAAAAATAATAATAAAAACATTACATACACAAACATATTAAGGAACATGATTTGAAATGAAACAACAGAAAAGCATTACAAAATAATATTAATAATAATCTTATAATTAAAATATGAAGGAATCCAAAAAAAAAACTCTTAATGTTAACTTTTTATTTTTCGTCTGCGCATCAGTAAATTGAATTGAATAGGTATTAATAATTTAATACGGAACTTAGAGTTTCCTTATATCCGCATTTCTCTTAGATTATTGTGGACGTTGCTTTGAATGATGAAGATTTCCTTTTTATCCATAATAATTTTTTGGTTTTAAAAACAAAGATAAATTAATATTAATAAACAAGATAAACGCATGAATTTGACTGGATATATCTCATTACTTTATTTTATTTCTAACTTGCATGCTTAACAGCTTGAAGTGCATAATTTACACCGTCATATTTTTGGAAGTTAAAAGTCTCATTTAATGGATTATAACCGAATCCATGAACTAAGACTGTATTGCAATCTTTCTCGCTGAGAATTTGCGTTACTTCTGATGGACTGATGAATTGATTCCAATCGTGTGTGCCTTTTGGGATGAAATTAAGTACATATTCAGCTAATACTATGCCTAATAGCCATGAGACTTGAGTTTTATTAAATGTTGTGATGAAGATGCTTCCATTTGGCTTTACACACTTTGTTAATTCGTGAAGAAATGCTTTTTGATCAGGCACATGCTCAATTACTTCACTGGCAACGACTGCATCATATTTCTCAGCATTATCGACTGAATGTTGCTCAATAAACTCTGATATGTACTTTATGTTTAATGACTGCCCATTCAGATGATCTCTAGCTGCATCTATCAGTTCTGTTGATGGTTCCAATCCTGTTACATTCGCTTTTAATCTCGCTAATGCCTCTGTGAGAATCCCAGCTCCACATCCAACTTCTAGAATGTTTAATCCTTTCAAGACATCCGGTTTATTGATATTTTCAGTTTTTACAGCTCCAGTGCTGATTAGTCCATCACGAATGAATGGAACTCTCACTTGGTTCATAAGATGTAGAGGCTTAACAGGTCCAGAAACATCCCACCATTGTGATGAGAAGCTTCCCAAGTGCTTCATGTCTTTTTCATCCACATTATTGAATTTTGATAAGCTTGTCGAAAGTAATCTATAATTAAATTGCATATTTTGACCTTGATAGTGCTAATAAGAGATTAAATTCATGAAATTTGTCACGTCCTCAACTTTTCTCACCTAATATTGAATTTCTTCAAGATGTTTATCGCCGGTTTAAGCATTTTCTTGCTAGTTATGTCTAATGTGTACTATGTATTCAGCTGTCAATCTTAAAATTCAGTTAAATAACACAGAATGATGAAATTTTTCTGAATTTCCTTCACTGTATCTTAATTTGTCGATTTATTCGAGTTCTACCGGATGATTTAAGTCATCGTGTTTACTAGACAACATCTAAAATTAGACTGCCTGTGACTATTTATTAATTTATAATCAACACCCTTCAGATTACGCTGAATTTTAATTAAAATAAATTTTAATGCACTTGTGTTTACTTTGTTATCAAACAGAACGTACCACAGTCAATGATTCAGCAAAAAATTAGATTACAAGATTTTATTACTTGATTGCACTTTTAGATGTGTATCAATGCTTAATTCAAACATAGATCTAGCTGTTAAATTGATAGGAGTAAGTGTTAAACTCAATTTTCTAGAGATCTTTCAGAGATGTAGTAAAAATCAAATTCAGAGCTTTTTAAGTCGAAAGCTTCACATTAAAACTTGCTATAATTTTTTTGATATCCTATTTTACCTTTACAAGCCTATCCTGCGGCTTAAAAGTTTAACAGTTTTACTTTCTGCCTCACATTGCCTCAAAGTCACTTGCTACAATGTCTTTATTTCGTTCAGATGAAAGCTTTCGAAGTGTTTTAATTCACTTTTTCTTGCATTCTTAAATCATTAGCTTGTCTATAATAATTTGGAATCCTAATAGAGATTTACGTCTATTCCTGAATTTACTTGTTCGGTTTTTCACCTGTAATTGAATTTTTTTAAGATGCTTGTTGCTAGTTTCGACATATTAACATGTTAACAATCTAATAAGTTTAATCACATTTAATCCGTTTACAATGTGAATCTTCGTAATGAAAAATGTGTCTGGATATAAAATCAAAGTCACTTGCTACAATGTCTTTATTTCGTTCAGATGAAAGCTTTCGAAGTGTTTTAATTCACTTTTTCTTGCATTCTTAAATCATTAGCTTGTCTATAATAATTTGGAATCCTAATAGAGATTTACGTCTATTCCTGAATTTACTTGTTCGGTTTTTCACCTGTAATTGAATTTTTTTAAGATGCTTGTTGCTAGTTTCGACATATTAACATGTTAACAATCTAATAAGTTTAATCACATTTAATCCGTTTACAATGTGAATCTTCGTAATGAAAAATGTGTCTGGATATAAAATCAAAGTCACTTGCTACAATGTCTTTATTTCGTTCAGATGAAAGCTTTCGAAGTGTTTTAATTCACTTTTTCTTGCATTCTTAAATCATTAGCTTGTCTATAATAATTTGGAATCCTAATAGAGATTTACGTCTATTCCTGAATTTACTTGTTCGGTTTTTCACCTGTAATTGAATTTTTTTAAGATGCTTGTTGCTAGTTTCGACATATTAACATGTTAACAATCTAATAAGTTTAATCACATTTAATCCGTTTACAATGTGAATCTTCGTAATGAAAAATGTGTCTGGATATAAAATCAAAGTCACTTGCTACAATGTCTTTATTTCGTTCAGATGAAAGCTTTCGAAGTGTTTTAATTCACTTTTTCTTGCATTCTTAAATCATTAGCTTGTCTATAATAATTTGGAATCCTAATAGAGATTTACGTCTATTCCTGAATTTACTTGTTCGGTTTTTCACCTGTAATTGAATTTTTTTAAGATGCTTGTTGCTAGTTTCGACATATTAACATGTTAACAATCTAATAAGTTTAATCACATTTAATCCGTTTACAATGTGAAGTTCGTAATGAAAAATGTGTCTGGATATAATACATTAGGGGTCGTTCACTTATGACGTCCGAATTTAACGGTCATTTTTCATAAAAGAACAACGGATTTCCAGAAATTTTTATTGTTCTTTTCTTGCTGACCCCCCCCCCCCCCCTGGACGTCATAAGTGAACGGCTCCTTAACTCTTTTATTGGATTTTTTATTATTAAGACAACATATTAACCGTTTAATTGAAAATATCGACAACTTTATAACATTATTTTAAACAATAATCATTAAAGTTTAATGCAACTGTTAATTATAAATGACGATCTACATAAACCCTTATCCTTACTCGAAACCCACCCAAAAAAGAAATAAATATTGATCGATTCGATTAATCTTCTACACACCTTCTCTTTTGCATAACTAGATTTTCTGTTTGACAGTGTTTTGCATCTATTTTTGTTTTTTACTGTCTTGTTTAACAGCATGTAGAAAATAATGCATACCATTATACGGGAAAAAAGTGAATTTGTTAAAGAACGGATAATAAATAGTTCCACGAACTGAGACAGTTTTGCAATTCTTTTCCTTCAATATATCTTCAACTTCTGAATGTGTAACAAATTGATTCCAATCATGAGAGTCTTTTTGAAGAAATTTAAGTTGCTCTGCTATGATTGTTGTTATCCATGAAATATAAGTTCTGTTTGGTGTTGTGATGAATATGCTTCCGTTTGGTTTTACACATTTTACCATTTCAAGAATAAGAGCTTTTGGGTCTGGTACATGCTCAACAACTTCACTAGCAACAACTGCATCGTATTTATCAGAATTATTAATTGAATGTTCTTCAATGTACTCCATAATGTATTTTACATTCATTGATTGTCCTTTGATGTGATCTTTAGCTACATTTAAAAGTTCTTCTGATGGATCTATCCCAATGACATGAGCCTTTAGTTTTCCTAGTCCTTCTGTTAAAACTCCAGCTCCACATCCAACATCTAATATTTTAATTCCTTTCAAGACATCCGTTTTATTTCTATCCTCAGCTTTAATCATTCCTGTGCTGATTAGACCATCACGAATAAATCCTATTCGCAATGGATTCATAGCATGTAAACCGATTTGAATTCCATATGGATCCCACCACTCCTTAGAAGTTTCTTCAATAAGCTTCATGTTTTTTTCATCCACATTCGTGCCATTTCTGTTGAAAAATGTAAAAATTTGCATAACATTTACCCAAAATTTTTTATTTTTGATTACTTCTCAGATTTCTGCATCCTTCACTCGTTGAATTCTTTTCTACGACTGCTTGTGACCAACTTTGATATTCTTATGAATGATATTCAGATCGCACATCTTCTTTTTGCCTTAAAAACCAGTAAAAATTAAGCATTAAGAGTTTCTAAGTTGCCTACAAGTCATTTGCCGATTTTTGCCTGACTTGTACTTCTGTTACATAAATAGTGGGCATGAAAAAGTTAAGTCTTTGTATACAACATAGAAACGAATTCGAAGAAAGGGTTTGTGACCCCCCCAACCCCTCCTTTCTTATATGTCTTTAAATTTTATCGAGAATTCCAAGTTGGGAAATAACCGGTGAGTAAATGTCTGTTCACCAGTTTGGTTAATCTGCATTCAAATTTGTCTTTCATTTGACCAATGTGCTATTGAAAAAAAATTCGGATTTTTCCAATTTTAACACATATAGAAATACTTGTTTTCAAAAGAAAGATTAATAAAGCACTGTGATGCAACGTTAGAACGCTTGTTCTTCTCCCCACGTCGAGATTTTAAAAGTAGCCAGCTAGACAAAGTGCATAGTTAAACATGACATTCGACATAAAAAATAATTTCAATACTTCTTTCATGTTTTCTAGAATTCCCAGAATTCCCAAGATTTTAATTTTCAATAAACTTGCTTAATCATTTGACTCATCAATTGTTTAAATTTTTTTGTACACCCCTATTTTTATAATGAGGTATAATGTTAGGGGCTGTTCACTTATTACGTAACGCGAAAAAATGACTTTTTAGACCCCCCCCCCCCTTGTAACAAAATTTGTATGAAAAAAAAATTTCCTTGTTTGAACCGTAACAAAATCTTAGACCCCCCTCCCCCCCTAAAAGCGTTACGTAATAAGTGAATGGCCCCTTAATTAATAATCCACAGCAAAAAAGATTGTGAGCTTTGTTTCCAATAAATAAAGATCAAGGTTTCATCAAACATACCCTAGTGCAACATAATCTAATACGATTGTGCTCAGATGACATACATACACACTCATACACACGTGTGCAGACCACACACACAAATGTAAAATTTGTTGGTAAACAAACTGATTCAAAGTCAATGATTCAGAATGAAATTCATTAAGAACTTTAAGATTAAATCATTTATCAATCTGTAAACACAAATGGATTTAACTAAAGGAATTTAATTTTTCTAAATCTACGATCATAAAATGACAAGTTTCTCAATCATTACTTAATTTTTGATATCTTAAAAGATCCAAGAAAAATTAATGCTTAGAACTTTTCAAAGTCAAAAGCTTTGCAATCAAACTTTTGCTATAAAATCAGTTTTCCAATTTTAAGCAACGATCCTAATTTAATGCATCTATACGTCTATGAAACTTTAGTCCTTTAGTAGCTTATTGTCTGTTTATTGTATGGCTTTGAGTAAAAAACAAAGAATTATGCTTTAACTTACAGACAACTTGTATAACGACCATAAAATATTTGAATTTGCAATTTTTATAGCATTTTCATTGGTTTTTTTTTCTGTCTAATAGATTTTATATCATATTCTGTTTTAATTTATTTAACTCCTTTAAACGCTGTAATTTCTGGTAAGTTTAATCTCAAAATGTGTGCAATAGTCATAAGAATTTGTGGATATACGAGTTCTATTGATTCAATTAAGAAAATCAGTGAAAAACTAGTAAACAGAACTTACTGAATTTCACATACTAAAATTGAACAAAAACAAATGGATTCTTAATAAAAAAGCAGCAGTTCTCATTCTTAGAATGAATTCTGAGCAGTAAACAATGAATAAATTGAACAAATGAAGTGAATAAGGAATGAAAAAGGCATAAAAAATCGAACAGTTAATGCCAAAATAAAGTGATAACAAAAATATTACAGTCATCGTTAAATTGCAAAAAAAATATATTAGAATCAGTTCCTATTTATTTTTAGACATTCCACTATCTTAGTTATGAGATTTTTGGTGTAAAATAAGGTGAAATCGGATGTATATATTTTTATAATTAATTTTCTAATATTAATCTTGGCGATGAAATGAAAATTAAGGCAAGAGAGTCACTCACTTGTCTCTTGAGCTTCTTATCACACAATTATAATTGTATAAAAATTATCTACGTCAAACCTTATATTGTTATTAGTGATGATGACTTTCAGTTTTTATTTTATATATTTCAAATATTTTTAATGCTATTACATCGATAACAAAATTTCAATGCCATTGAAATTACGAGCGATTTATCAGCTTATTATTGGCTAAGTCTCGTTCTTATATTTAAAAATCTTATTTAATGAGTTCATTGAGAATAATAACGATTATCATACATTGTATGCGGTACGCTCTTTTTGTTATTTAATTGGCACAGTTTCACGTATCGTAAAGGTTATTAATATCTCTTTAAAATCGTTTACTTTCATTCCCCACATATCTCCTTGTTCCTATGTTTACGTGCAAAATTTAAAGTAAACGCTCTTTACGTCTATACACGTGTTGTAAATTTTTGCGAACCGACGAACTCGGTCCGAAAGAATAATGAGCCATTAATTATGTCATTGCCCAAAATGAAAAACGACATGAGCAATCATTAATAAATTAAATCTGGATAATGTGTCACGACGTCTCCGAAACATTCTCGGAACTTTTCGTCACATACAAGTTCAGACTAAACTTTTATACATTATTTATTTAAATAAACAAGCCAACGTGACTTTATCAAATATGACTTTTTTGGTGATACTGGAAAGCAAAAATTAAAAAATTCAAATTTATTCTGGAACTAAGCAGACAAATTTTTCAACGATGAGATTAGAATGGTCATCATGATTATGTCAGGCGATGCATATGCTGAATACCAAGATTTGTTAACCTTGAGAAGAAGGTGCTGGATATTTATTTTTGAAAAGAAGCGAGCAAAGTTCATACAAATTTCAATTACGTATTTCATTAAGCATTACAAAGGGAAGTGGATGACTAATCATTTCTTGTCTAGTCATTCCGAAAGTTATATTTGGAATTTGTAGCTATGTACGTTAAGCTGATGAAAGCTTAATGAGGTTTTCCAGAGAATTGACTGTTTTATGTGTAATCAGTTGTTCTCAAACGACTTGGGAGTTTTGGGCAGGGGAGGGGGAGGGTTAAGTTTCGGTCTAGAATTGCATCTAGAATAACGATATTCATGAGTCAATACCTTGATAAAAACGAGAATCAAATCCTTTACTATAAAATAGAAGAAAAAAATTAGACAAAACTCACGAAAAAACCCCAAAAATTAATTTTATAATAGAATAAGTAACTACGCACTAATGCGTTTGAGGATAAAGTACAAGTGTTGATAATAATTTCACCAAAACTGATTATAAAACACATACAAGTATTTGAAAAAACTGCACACTCATCCAGTCGAGTCTATCAAAAATTTCAATGACATTCTGGCTTCAAGGACATCCAAAAATTATTGGCAAAGTTCAATATTTTGTCTGTAAACCATGAAAAGAATAAATGGATAATCATGAAAAGTCATTAAAAGCTCCTTTAAAGCCACATATGAAGACTAAATCAATCGTCATTTATACTGTGGAAAAAAAGTTTCATTTTAAGTCTGTTATAGTGTGGCGCATTGTTACGATGTTGAAGATGATGACTTGCAAGAATCAACATTTTTTTCCTTCATATATCGTAAAAACGTCGAGTGAATATATAATCTTATATTTTTTGTTTTCTACGCGCGTCCAAATTCTTATTTTTATTTTTTTCTTCTTTACTATATTCTCTAAATCGGTGTTTGTTTGTAAAACAGCATACATTTGTACATGGAAGTGAAATACATATACAGTCCATATTTGAGTGGAATGAACGAGCGTTTTTATTTCATGCTATAGAGATAAATGAATTATAGATAAAAAACAAGAAACCATCACATTGCAGACCAGAAAAATATTTTCGCACACGTGAAAAACACAGAATAATAATATTGTATAACGGCTGCAGAGATTCTCTTCCCGACTCCTTCCTGTTTGGCAAAAAACCAATTTTTATTTATGAGACATTTTCATGAGTTCATTTTTTACGGACTGAAATGCCGGAATCGTTTTTCTCATCGTCCATTTACTCTTATTTTTACTACAATTTGTGTTTTTAAAATAAAAACTCGGGAAAGTATCAAATTACTGAAAATTTATGGCCATAACCAACAGGCGCTTTTATTGGGTTGTCGTTAAAATTTGCAATTCATTGCTGAAATTGATTGATGGATTGAATTGTTTGTTTTTTGATAATCTGTATCATTCAAATGTATCTTGAAAGTAAAGCGCAGACTTAGTGACGACTATAATAAGATAAGCGATTAGAACAGAGTTGGGTTAGCTCTGTGAAATTAAGTTTGTTCTAAAATTATATTTTAGGTTTCTTATTGATGAAATCTATATTTTGAATAGAAATTGAATAATTAAGTACCGACAAATAAAGTTCGTCAAACCCTGAACTCGACTACTTAATAATCTACAAACCAAAACATTCTCATACATGTTGAATTATACGACTATTAATGCCGGTAAACAATATTTTTTTTTCGGCAACGGAAGATTAAACTCTAGGAATGCTAGACACACTTAAAATAGCCTATCCGGGAATGGCACTAAACACTTCAATTGAGCTTTAATAATTAACTTATTTACTTTCTTGTCATGTTAGAATTCAGTTTCAATAGTGCATGTCATGCTTTTTACATTATTTTCCTCTCTCACTGTGAATCACCTTTCAGAGCACTTAAATCCCATAATTAAATATATGAGAAATGTTTGTGAGAAAATAAAGCAGACATGGAAGGGCAAAAAACTTTAAAATGTGAAAATAAAATCTGAAATACAAAAGTTTTTAAGTTGCGGAAGAGGTTAACAGAAATTTTTGCTGATGTCATTCGGGTCGATGATTTTTTTCATTGAAGAAATGTCTCGGATAGTGAAAGTACTGGTTCGATTTCTAAATTTCAAGATTCGAAAGGTCTGAAAATTTTCTAATTGTGTTGATGATTTGAGTAATGAGATTTAAGGCATGAACTTGATTTCTACGTCAATCGCTAATTTCACCATGATTTGCAAATAATTTCACCATTTTATTCAGGAATTTTTACTTTAGCAGTCATTATTAAACTTAGCACAGATAGAGTGGAAAATATCAAAGAGAACTTGAAGCTTATCTTTAAAAGTATGCGAAAAACTCTAATTCATTATAATACAAAAAATCAGCAGCTCTTGAACGTCAAACAAATCAATAAGCCACAAAAGGTACTCACATAGTCAGTCAGTCAAAGAATTTACATTTTACAATAGAGCTTGCGTGAATGAATTTCTGATTTACTCGTAAATACGTAGTAGGTGTAAGTTGTTAATTAATTATATCTCGCCATGCATCGCCTGAAAAAAATGCAATTCATGAACTTGCAATGATGAATGAGCAAAAAAAAATAAATGAATGACATTGCATAATCGAGCAAAAAAAGTATAATTGCAGAACTTTTTCGGACTCGTCACAGCCGAAATAAAATTTAAAACGTAATTCATCACGTGAAAATGAGATTTGGTGATGAATCCGCAGATTCAATATGCTCGCAAATATTTAAACTTTAAACAATAGACTCAGCGTTACCTTTCTTGCTCACTTATTTACACCATATGACTAGTACATATTAAAAATTGTAATGTAATGCTTAAATGAAGTGAAAAAAGTGCAAATTCTAGATGATTTGCTGATTTCAGTTAATGGAAAACTGAAAAATATGCAAATCATGATCGTTAATGAATTCGTTCTCTTAAATTATTCCGTACTGCTGAATATATTCTAATTTATTTATTTTGCAAAAATTAAAAAGTTTTCTTTTTTTTATGTGAAAAAAATACATTATTTTCGCCAAATGTCAACGTTCTCTCGATACTTCCTGCTTATACGCTCACCATGTTCTTGCTCAATAGATTTTTGCTTACTCATTGATGATGAGAAATCGTGAGACTTAATAGCTTTTTGATTAGCACAAAATGTTTATGAAATTATCACTAGATTCTTGTGACCTAGATCGATTCTTCCGTGTGAAAAGAATTATGTAGTCAATAATATGTTTATGTCTAGATGATTATAAATCAGTGGATCTCAATCTTTGTTGTGCGGCTTATTTATTTATTTTTAAAAAAAATCATGTCTGGTTTTCCATTTTTAGAGAGTTTAAAAACAAAGTCTAAGGTAGGACTAGCACACCTGAGCAAATTCCTTATTTATTCGGTCACTTAGACAAGTTAGTCAATTATGAATAGTATTCATTCATCATATAAACAGCAGCGAGCCTTAATAGTTTGAGAAACTCTGTTATAAGCAGCTTTCGTCATCATATTGATTAATATTACGGCATGTCTCTCATGTATGAAAACCTGCAAAGATAAAAACATTTGTTAAAAAGTAAACAATCTGCTGGCAATAACACTAGGTTTCCAATTATTGACATACAAAAAGAAGAGGAAGAATACATTTTTTTTTTGTTGTGTCTCATCTTAATGGTGTGTCTGTAATAGAAAATACACAATCAAATATGATGAATGAAGTTCTTTTTTCGCTCGGCGCTTATAAGCTGATAATCGCTTTATCAAATCGAATTAATTAATTTTGACCGATCGTGGTTTGTATGTGTATTATATACCTTACCATCGTTAAGAGTATTTGTATTGGAAAAGCTAAGCTTTGACAAAACATAAAATTATTTTTATTACCAAGACGTAAAAGGTGAAAAGACTTTTATTCTTAAGAAAATAAAAATGGCGTATGTGACTTTATCGTAGGATTCTAGGTAAAGGAATTGGGGATTGATGAAAATAAATTGTTTACTGGAACGACGATGACATTCAATTTTTGGAGAAAAAATAATTAAAAATTCGTGAAAAATATTTACAAATTCTGTTGCTTTTATGATTTGCATATGCTGCACGCTTAAGAGTTTTAGTGAAAGGAAGCTGATCGTTGAATAAGAATTTGCTTAATCATTCGGAATAAATAGAAATAAGAATAATTTACAAAAGATGGGAAAGGACCAGAAACAAAAGACTTTCATCTGCAAATATATTAGTTGATTTCATCATTTGACTGTAAGAGTTGTCAGATTTAAGATTTGATTAAGAGAAACTAATGGATTTAAATGAATATACATCTTACTTAAGCCATGCACTTATCTTAGTTTTTAGATTTAAATTTAATACTGCTTTCCTAGAAACTGAATAACAATTTTTTGATCCCGAAAGGAAGCAGGAGGCAAGGTCGTTAACAGACATATTTTGAAAAGGCAAGATCAGGTCTGAAAGACGTAAAAGATTTCTTGGCCCTTTAAAAAAATCACAATTTATCATTGAGCAAGCGACAAATCAACAGCCAAATTTTACTACAAACATCGCCGAAGAATTGCCTTCAAGAAAGTTCTTTGTGCTAAAATAAAAAATCGTTCGAAGAAGATACTAGAAATCTTTGCTGACGTTAGAAGATTAATCTGTAAATCCTTAATTAATCGCTTCATTCAAACTTTTTAATTGCGGATAGATATTTTTTTTTGCAAAATCATGAAGCACGCGCTTTGAAAATTCATTAACGAATTCAATCAATTTTTTACATAATAGAGTTCCTTGAAAATTAATTTAGACTAAGAGGTTAATCCCCTTAAAATATGCGATAATTAAGTCAAATTAATTGTGACTTGCACAAAACTAGATCATTTAATCTTAGATGATCTAACAGAAAATGAGATTGCTCTGTGCAGTAAATGTCAATATTTACACAACAATAATTACGAATGTAAACCTAAACATACAGAGACTAACTTAATGAAGTAATAACAATAAGTATATAAAGTAAGCTTGATGATAAGAAAATTTTGAGTATATAGTGACTAATTTGATTGACAACTTTTTAATTATGAATGACTTATTTTCATTGAAGAATTTGTCTTAATTTATGCAACGAATGTAAAACCGAGCATTAATTCCACTACCACAACAAAGTCAATTTCTTTGTGCTTTATGCTTCTTCCTTCTGAATACATTGAACGCTGTTAAATGTGTGTTATTTCATACTTTTTATTCTCCTTCGTGAAAAAAAGCAAAAACTGCGAATGCTTTAGTGTCAGAAGTAAGCCGTAAGAGACTGCACACTGATACTATTAATTTTTTTATCTAAACTCGATAGTTTTTTTTTGTTGTTTTTCTTCGATCTATTGATGCGGTTTCGAGAGCTTTTTTTTTGTGTTTGTAGACACGGCACAGAATCAAAATATTTTTACTCTTTCGAGAGTTTATTTTAGTTTATCAACAACTGTGGACCTCAAACGTAGTAAAAGTTATTTTAAAGATAATAAGATTTTCATGAGGATAGTCACGCGTCTCGCGAATATAGTTAATATTAAGCAATAGCTAGTGATTAGTGAAATTAAAAGTGAATAAAAATAAATCTTAAGACTAAAAAAAAAAGATAAAATAATTTGCCAACTCAGTCAAAAATATATATAAATAAAGAAAACGCTATATACATTTACACAAGTCTTAGTTCTTAAAAAGAAAATGTTATGACATCAATAAAGAGAATCAGATTATCGCAGGTATATTAAAAGAAACAGATGATAAGATAAATTTTTATATAAACAGTACACAGTGAAAAAATATAAATACACACCAGTGAAATTTAATGATATGCCTCCAATGTCCCAAGTGTACTTTGTTTGGGGTAGCATGATTCAGCAGAAAAAAAAAGTTTCAGTGTTTTTCTTATAAATTCCAATTACTTTCAACACTTTTATCAACACAAATGTTTCCATTTTTTTTAATTATATTTACATTTATTGCATTGTGTCACGATGATTGTGCGGTTTTCCTATCAAAAACGTTTTATTTGCTATGTGCTTTAATAACAGACCAGAAAAATCGAATTTTTGTGTTTATGGTTTTTTATATACTCTTCTTCTTAACTCAATGATTTGTGCTTTGGTTCAAGGATATAGTCGGCGATCATGTGAAGTTGTTTATTTCTTTAAAATATTTACTCGATCATTCTAAGTGCTGTGTCGATAAATTTGAATGGGTTTTTAATTGAGTGACTTTAATTGCATTAAAGACTTTTGAAGGGTTAAAATCAGTCTTTTAAGTTATAAAGCTTAAGATTGAATATTAAAGAGGCAGAAAAAACCAATCGCATGCCCTTACCACTAGGCTTTCTGGGACTTCTTAGGAGAACGCTAGTTTCAACTATTAATCTTGTCAGAAAATTATTTTTGGTTCAATCTTGTTCTATTGTTGATTGAAACCTCAGTTTTTTATTCTATATGAAATAGCTTATTCAAGTGTGTAGCCAAAGGGGAGCCAGTTGCTTTAATAAAATATGCCACTCGAGTTATTCATGGTCCTTTCCTTGTAACTCATTCTGTTTAACTTAACTTTAAATCACTCTGAGAATTTAATACCAAACTGGAAGTTTATGACAAGAAAAAAAAACCATGACGTAGAACTTATTACGTTATATTAGCTACGCCTTAAAATAGCTTACAAAAGACAATCGCTAGTTAACTCTGTTAATATTATTTATGGCACAGAAAATGTCAGGTGACGAAATAGTTCCACTATAAAAATTCCTTTGTGAGAAAAGCGGCATGTGATTCGCATGTAATATGTGTGACATCACGTTCTTTGTCGCAGGAAAGGTGAAAACTATTTTTATGTGGGTTTCTAGAGAAAAATTTTTGTCTGGCACTTCAGTCAATGAAAATGTCTGTGAATGAGGAACATTTGTGGATGAATTATTATGTAAAGTTTAATGCTAAAGCGTCATAAATATCTTTTTAAACGTGAACTTATTGGATTATATAGATGAATAAGCGAAGGTAATGAAAACAAAAAAATTACAGTTTCAATATTGTAGGTTTTTCCAAAGTTGTAAGAAGTTCATTCTAAATGCTTCTTGTTAAATCAACCATGAATTATGTTCATAATCATCGCAAAGTTGTGCTTCATTAATGATCGTGTTGAACAAGTTTGCAGAAGAAAAATTTTACATGAATTTTTTTCAAAGAATTGATTTGGTTAAATCCACGGTGGTTTTTTGTCATTTCTGAGAAAAATGCTTTTATGGCTTCACTGTGGTGGCTTTATATGGATGTCCTTTAAAGATTTAGTTTGCATTCAGACTTCACAAAGTTATAGTGGAAATTATTATTTACTGGTTTATTTTAATAAGGTAAAATAAACCAAATTGAAACAATGAAATCTTAAACAAAAGAAACTGGCTAGGAAATTGCATGTACAGAAACAAAAATGTTGAAGATAATACGCTAAAAATATAAGATAAATCATTTGAAAGCCTAGCTTTTTTGAGCTTAGGCTCTGTGATTCAAATAGTATAGAATCTACTGTACATCATCCTTTAGAATATAAGACTTCGAGTACTTCTAGAACTGATTGAACGATAAATGAAGCAAAGCTAATTAGGCACAATGAGTTTTGAACCTAATTTCAATCGCAAGCTAAATATAGCCCAAAATACATAGAGAAGTAACTGATAAGAGCTTTGATAACAATTCTACACTTTCATTGAGGATGACGTGCCAAAAATGCTATCTTCGCGATAATTTAACCTTTCAACATTCCGCGAATTTCATTCTCATTTCCATGAAACTCTTTTGGTTCAAGAATGAATCAATATTTTTACGACAGAAACTCAAAAAATCACCAAAAGCTTAAAACGTAATTTAAATCCGATGATCTTTCGCAAAAATATTGACATAATGTTTCACAGGAATCGACTCACACCTGTTATCGCCCAAGAAATTTTTTTTTGGAATACCAAAGTTTGAAAATGTTTTAAAAGCTTAGCGTGTCATCTTTTACTTCTGTTTCAATACAGAGCAGATATCAACCGGTGTGGCAACAAAAAATTTGATTTTTTTTCTCGAGAATCATTCAATAAAAAAATTTTGAAACTCATCACGGTAAATGAAGAAAAAGTTGTTCCGTTTTGTGGTTCTTTCATACGTGATGTCCACTAATTTTTGGATGTCGAGAGTTCCAGTTCCAGTTTAGACGACATTTGAGAACGACCCTTTTATACAGCATCAAAAAATGTCTTTCAGTGTCTGTAGCTAGTACACTAAAAAGTTCTGGTCATTGTATGAATAAAAGGCTTAATATAATTCAATGAATGCTAGCTTTTTAAATTGCATTTTGAGGATTTTCCTTTAACCTAATGGCTTGTGGCTTAATGAAAGCTGTGGAAAAGTTTTAATGGAATTACAGAGCGGTTTTCAGCTGTAATTACTGTTAAAAGGCGATGAATTGAGTTATAAATTAGGAGAATTCCCAAATTACTCAATTATACGACTGTAAATTGATGATAATGAATTTTACCGACTAAATGGACTTAATTTGAGTGACATGACTGTAAAGTGGTACTTTTCTAGCTTCTGGGGCAGTTATGGTCAATCTAAAAAATTCAAATTTTAAAATTTAAATTTCCGTTAAATCGAAAGTGACTAATGAATTAAAATCAAATTTGGGGACAAACAAAAATAATCTAAAGAAAAACAAAGCGATTGATTGATAACCAGCACACGTGTGACCTTCAAATATTGTGAATAAGAATTCCTAAAAGGACATTAAATATTAATATCTGTTAACAAAACACAAAATAGTTTTTGGAAGTCACACAAATTCATTTATTAAACAAATAAAGACTATAACAAAGATGTGGAACCAGTTATATTAAATCAAGTTTTTTTTAAATTTGCCTATTCACTCATAAAATGTCTTCAAATGTGCGAAATTTATTTAAATATGTGTGTTTATATCCACAAGAGATGACTATGCAAAATTGCAAATGATAATTAATTCAACGACACTGCCTTAATTTATGCATGAGTGCCGATTTTATTGTGAATTTTTTTTTTTTTTTCTTCTCTTTCTTCCTTGTGTGGTTGTGGTCACTAGTATTCAGCGGACGTAATGGATACAACAGATGATGACATATTAATGAGTCCATCATCGCCGCATAATGGTTTAACGAAATCAGATGATCTCGGTGATATGACATTTTGTATGTCTAATTACGCTAAGGAAGCCCTCAAAATGATGTATATGATGCGACAGGTAAGTCAATTCAATGCCTAATAATAGACAAATTAAAATTAAATGTCAAAAATTGTTCAAATTTTGGTTTCGGTTTTGACTTATAATTTGTACGGTTTTAGACTTATTTGAATCTCAAAATGTGTTTCACAGTTCACGGAACTTTTAACGTCAACCTTGGAATTAAAAAATATTTAATTAAAGTTGTTATTAATTAAGAACATCAATGTTTACTTACAGCATCACATGCTCACCGACTGTGTTCTGGAAGTTGACAATGAACTATTTCATGTTCACAAAGTGGTATTATCATCAGCTAGTCCATATTTTAAGGCAATGTTTACTGGTGGTTTAAAGGAGAGTGAAATGTCACGTGTACGTCTTCAAGGTGTTTGTCCAAGTTCAATGGCCAAAATAATTACATTTATGTATACGGGAAGAATTCATATATCAGAAGTGACAGTTTGTCAATTACTTCCCGCAGCAACAATGTTTCAAGTACCAAACGTTATTGAAGCATGTTGTGCCTTTCTCGAGAGACAATTAGATCCAACAAATGCAATAGGAATTGCTAACTTTGCCGAACAACATGGTTGTACAATATTAAAACAAAAGGCAAATCAATTTATTGAGAGGCACTTTACGCAAATCTGTCAGGAAGAGGAATTTCTTCAGCTGTCTGCAATGCAACTTGTAAATCTTATAAGAAAGGATGAGTTGAATGTTCAAGAGGAGAGAGAAGTCTATAATGCTGTGCTTAAGTGGGTCAAATATGACGAAGATAATCGTTATCCAAAGATGGAACATATTTTGTATGCTGTACGATGCCAATTCCTTACACCAAAATTTCTGTAAGTCAATCATAATAATCAATTTGATTGATTTTCTCATTCTCATTGATTCATACTTTTACAGTAAAGAGCAAATGAAAAACTGTGATGTATTAAAACGAGTGCCGGCGTGCCGAGAGTATTTAGCGAAAATATTTAAGGATTTAACACTTCATAAACGTCCGATTGTAAAAGAGAGAAAACCAAATACAACGCGTATGATTTTCGTTGCTGGTGGATATTTTCAACATTCATTAGATATCCTGGAAGGCTACAATGTCGACGATCGTACGTGGACAACACTTCCGAAATTGACTGTGCCACGATCAGGCCTTGGTGCTGCGTTCCTTAAAGGTACATTTTATGCTGTTGGTGGACGAAATAATGCACCTGGAGCTTCCTATGATTCAGACTGGGTTGATCGGTATGTGGAAATAAAACCATTTTTTTGATAATTCAAAATTAATAAAATTATTTTGTTACAGCTATGATCCGTTATCAGAACAATGGCGACCGTGTGCTCCTATGAGTGTACCAAGAAATCGAGTGGGTGTAGCTACAATGGACGATCTTTTGTATGCTGTTGGCGGATCTTCTGGAAATGAATATCACAATTCAGTTGAATAGTAAGTTTGTTGCTGTTTGATAAGTTTTACGAATATTATTAATAATTTTTCTTTATACAGCTATGATCCTGAGCAAGATAGATGGTTTGTAATAGCACCAATGCGTTCGAAGAGACTGGCAGTCGGAGTTGCAGTAGTGAATCGATTGGTGAGCATTTGTAACTGTAATTAATGTAATTTTATTAACTTATTGACAATTTCTAAACAGCTTTACGCAATTGGTGGATTTGATGGTGAAAATAGACTGTCGTCGATGGAATGCTACCATCCTGAGAATAATGAGTGGACTGATATGCCTGCAATGAGATATCCAAGATCAGGTGCTGGTGTTGCTGTTTTAAATCAAGTAAGTTAAATTTCCATGACTAATATAGACTTCCACAATTGAATGATTCACCATTAATCATGGCTTTCCAACTTAAAACTAATTCAAGTTGATTTCTAATTTACAGTACATCTATGTAGTAGGAGGATTTGATGGAACGAGACAATTATCATCAGTTGAACGATTTGACACCGATAATAAAGTGTGGGAAACCGTAACGCCAATGAAAACATCACGAAGTGCCTTATCGGTGAATGTAATTGACGGAAAATTATATGCAATGGTAAGAATTAGTAGCTTCTATAATTTATTCAATTAGCACAGTTTTAATTCGAATTAATTTACTTCATTTTGCTACTCAGGGTGGCTACGACGGAACACATTTTCTATCAAATGTAGAAGTTTACAATCCATCCGATGATGTGTGGGAAGATGGCGTTCCATTAACTTCTGGTCGCTCAGGTTTAGCATCAGCTGTCATCTATCAACCATCGTGTCCACAAAATTACTCACAAGAGTGTACAGTAGCACAAAATCCAACAAAACGTGATTATGATGATAATCGTAGATTACCGCCAAATAATGATGGCAATAATTCATCTATGAACTGTAATTACTCATCAAATGTATATCAAAATTTAAGAGGCTCAGGTAGTGGTAGTGGTAATCATGATTCAAATGAAACTGAAGAAACAAACTGTGATGAAAATGAGGAAAGTCCTAAAAAAAATAAAAGTACGTGTATATTTACTCAAATGAGGGAGCGATGTAGGACGCGAAGTCGTCATTTACATCCTCTACAACAACAGCAAATGCAGCAACAGAAATTAAACGACATTAATAGTAATCTAGAGAAAGTAATAAGGAATCATACAAAATGTAAGAATCCAAATGCGTCATGTTCAATGCAGAGGTTGAGGCGAAGATTTCAATATTTTCTGTATAATCACATAAGGCACAGTGATTGTCAGAATAAAGGAAATGAAAACAACAACACATGATAGTGGATAAAAAAAAATAAGAATCAATTAAATTATTTCACATTCCAAAACAACAGTTCATTCAATTCATTATTTAAAAAGTATGAGAAGAAGTCATTGTGTGATTAAAGTGCATTTTATATTTATCAATCTGTTAAAGTGTTAAGTCATGTCCAAGAGACTGTTTTTATTATTGTCATATTAGATCAAAGAAGTCGCTGTTACAAATAAATTAAGTTGTTCAAAAATTGATCCTTAATCAAAGTTTAAGTGACTCAAAAAGCATGACTAAGTCGTGTATAGTCAGACAAAATAACATTGCAGGTAACTTGATAAAAATGCGTAGCAAAAATAACTAAGAGAACATTACTCGTCATAAAGGTGTTAAAAATGCTGCTCTGAATATAATATGAGAAAAATAAAATATGTGATGAATTAAGTTTCTATAAGAAAGAGTATAATTAAGTGTAAAAAAGTAAAAGCATTCGGCAGCAACATTTCAGACACTCTTAATCAACAAGTTATGACCAAGAAACACTTTAATTCGGGTAGAAATAAGTGACATTTAATTACAAAATGATTGTGAGCAGGATGAAGAAAATTATGTGTCTGTTTTTTAAGTTGCAATAAATAAAATTCCATTAAGTTAGTCCTACTGTGGTAGTGGACATTAAAGATAATAAAATGGACAGATAAATTTTTTCATTCCTTATTTTTAAAGATGATGGTTTAAAAAATTATTTTCAATGAAAATAAAAATAAGAAGAAAAGATTTTAATTCCTCTAGAGAATCATGTTGGACTTTTTTTCTTCATGGAGCTTGAAAATTATTTTTCAGATGGATCAGCTCTTAATAAAAAAAGCAACCGTAACGGTATGAAGAGATTTATTGTTGGTTTTTTTTTGTGTCTGAAGATAGTTGATATGCAGAATAAACATGCAAAAAATTGTGAGAGATTCTCAGTGTGTCGAGTTCTGTAATATTCAATATTTACTTCTAAAAATTACGTAAAAATTCTTATTTTGGTCAGTTACTTAATAATTTATTCTTGAATAAATTTTAATATTTTGAATGTCAAGTCATTGCAGTTCTGCAATAGTAAAGGATGTTTAAGAATTATATTATTTTGTTAATGTGGTTGGGAGTTGTACATTTATTATGTTCATGGATAAATATGAATTTTTGATATCTTTTTTAAATCTCACAGAACCTAGACTTGTCCCATTCAACCTATAAAGTGATAATAAAAAGACAGGTTCTAAAAGATTTAAAGCAGAATGAAACATCTCAAAGAAATGAAATTTTTTGATCTAAATTTTGTACAAGGGGGGGGGGGGGGGTGTTCATAAAATTCTGTTGTGCCATAATTTATGAATTTTTTCTGGAATTTTTTTGAATTTCAAAAATAAGAACACATCCAATAAACCAGGAACGAGAGTTTGTTTAAAATCTCAAAAAAAAATTTTACCTCCCAAAAGAAAAAGAAAACCTGCAAAACTTCCGTACCACACGTGGAAGTTGATAATCAAAATTTCCAACATGATTAAGCAGTTCATCCAATAAGCTCTTCCAATAGAATTTTAAAATTCCCGCATTTGAGCCAAGACACATTCAATGTTGATATTACAGAGGAATCAAGCCATACAGGTTCGTAGAATAAATATTGGAAAATTGTGATTCTTTCCGAAAATCTAAAAGTGCAAAATAATTTCGCCTATTTCCGTTGGCAACAATTAAAATTAATTAAACCATTTCCAAAATCTAAGTTGCATGCCTGACGATCCGTCAAATACGGAGTATAGTGTCTGAAAATTCTATGGGACGAGGAAATTTCAATAAAAACTTTATCCACTCCCAAGGATATGAAGTGACATTAGGGAAACAAAATCTGTAGTGATAGTGAGAAATTTGAGCATTTGAGTAATAAAATTGAAAGTAAAATTTCATATGTCAGCTAATAAAAATCGAGTCATTGTTTGACTTGTTAAGTATCATTAACAAAAATCGAGGAAAAACAATTTTGAGAGTCAAGAAAAAGGAACCAATCTTCCAAAGTGAGAGCTTTTGTGCAAAAAAAAATATAGTAAAGCTGGAAAGCTTCCAGTAAGCTCTCAAGGATAACTCTCTCTCAAGGTGCACACGGAATTTCAGTGAAAAAGACACAGTCGACAAGAATTTATCTCGTTAATCAATCTCATTTTGGGACTTTTTCCCAATATTTTTCTTTCCTTTACTTTTAAAACCATTTTTGAATAACTCGACAAATAAAATTGCTATTTTTTTTAAAACAAAAAAAAACTTCCTGTTTTTGTCGTCGCACGTAAATTACAAAACAAGCGAATCAGGTCAAGGAAGACCTTTTTGCGGAATCTTCATTTATTTTTTTATTATTTATAATTTTTTTTAAAAAAATTCATCCGCTTGATGCTATCATACAAGCTAGTGTGTTGTGAGAGATAAAAGCCGAGAGAAAAAAAGTGTAAAAAAAAATATTTTTTTAAAGTAAAAAGAAATATTTTGAAAATAAACAAAAGACGAAAGTAAAGGATAAAGCATGGCAGATGAGGAAGTACTGTTTGATGATGTTTACGAGCTCTGTGAAATTATTGGCAAGTGAGTACATAAAGCACAATTTCTCATTTTTCGATGTTTATTATCCTCTACACTCTCGCTGAATTCTGAATATATTTTTCAAGTGATACTTATTGTGTAAACATTATGTATGCAATGCATTGAATGTGATTATTATACGTGCGAATAACGGCTGCATTCCTCTGCACTACCGGTCATAAAATATGCATTAATTGCATTGCAGGAAGTTTGTGAGACGCTCAACAAAAAAAATCTTAGCTGTTTTTCTTGTGTTTGTACATTACAATTTAACTTCTTTTGGAGGAGATGAGATGCTTCGTGGAAAAAATAAATGAAATTTTGTATTGGATTTTTTTTATGTTTCGCAAGGAAATAAAATCATGAATTTTTTATGGCACAATCTATGAAGAGAAGAATCTATTTTCTTTAGATGAAACAATAACATTTTATAGAATATTTTGAGGAAATTGTATAAAATTTGGTAGGGTCTACACGCGCGGAATGTATTGTCGGTGAATATTTGAGGAAAATTGCTTTATTAGGCATTTTTTGAGGGGGTGAGCTAGTTGATAATAATGCAGTATTTCTAAAATTATCTTTTGTACCCGGATTTTTTTGAAGACTTTATGTCACATTTGATTTCCTAATCTTAATTAACACTGTTGTGCCGTGTCATACAGTTTGAGAACACCTGCAATTGAGGGAATTTTTTAATCCTGGTTTATTATGTAACTGAAATATTTACGCAGCTATAACTTTGAATATAGTTTGTATAAAGTTCGACTTAGTCAGTAATGCTCAAACTTTGCTCCATGGTACTCTCTTGCGTCGCTTTGCCATTTTGATTAGGTGTGCTGCAAAAAGATTATCTTCAGAGTCTTGTAGCATTTTCTTCACATATTATCAACCATATCACGGTTTTAAGTTCAACAATCTAAACTAAGATCTCCTCTAAGCCAGTGTTTGCACTTGACTCGAGTTTTGTATGTAGTCAAGTCTACTTTGAGCTTTGTTCTAAGCTGAACTACCTCTAGATTAAACTGAATTAAGCACTGAACCATAGTTATAAAAAATCATTGAAGAAAATAGAATAAGATTCCGATTGACAACAACTTAAGACTGAATAAGCACTAGAACTTCTAAAAATTCCATAGAAACTCACTGCATCCCAAATTGAGATTCTCAATAATAAGTCATTTTCTCATTACTCCTACTTCCCTAATTAGCATGTAAAGTAACCTTTTTAAAAGTCCTTTTTTAATTAAAAATTTCCCGAATTTTTCTTCAAGCTCAAAATCCTTAAATCCCCTAAAGTTAAGAACTTTTTTTTTTTGACAAAGCCGATCAAAAAAATGAAGCACCGAAATTAATATTGTAATTTCCTCGTCTTCCTTGATACACGATTCCCCATTAGACGCATTCCTTGAGACAATTCTTGTTAACTTTGTCAAGCAGTCAATGTAATATCCTGTAATTTTCTCCTTAAAGAGTCTCATTTTTCGGGAAATTTGCCATTTCTATTCTCTCGATTTTTTTTCCTTAATTTAATTTTTTTTCTTCACATCTTCAAAAAAATAAGCATTACCTCTTTCCTGTGCGAAGATTTTTCCTCTTTTTCCCCTCTCTATTTTAATTTTCTGTGAATGAGTAGTAATGCTACAGCACAGAATGCTGTGAATAGAGCAAGAAATGTAATAAAAATTCAAATAGCTCTATAATTGAGAACCGACAGTTTGTTTACGGAATTGCGATAGAAATTGTTTCAGTTTCTTTCTTCTGTATAGACAGCGGATAGTATTTAGATGAGAAAAAAAAAGTCATGGAAGAAGAAATTTTGCGCATGAACATAGTCGAAATAAGAATTATTTGTTTATACTTGTTTTTATTCTTGACTTTAAAAAATTCGTGCAACACATTTTCACTGATATATATTTTCAATTTTGTATTTTGGGATTGTATTCTACAAAAACTAATAATCGTTACAATCAGTATGTTTCATCAGCTGTGGCATGTGGCAGTGCTCAAATGATGTATAGTAAAATTTAAGTTTAAGACCACACATCGTGTTTTTATTGCAAATTTCTGACTTTATTAATAACTAAGGCGATCCAGATTTTGATGGGAATCGAACCTACTACTTTGTAGAAGTTATGTCTGTTGAATATAGTCGACCACAGAGACCCTAGTCATACATTGGCAAATTCATTAACATATGACTCAATACACCAGATTCCACCTGCTACAAAGCACAACCCAAAATCCCATCCAACCTTCAAAAGTCCCAGAACATCATTAACAATCTACTCCACATATTAACTTACCGTGAAAAAAATATTTTCACCATATTTTCGAGTAAAATTAAAATTTTATGAAATTCAGCAGAACTGAGCCTGAAACATTTTTAGACATTCAATATTTTTTACATCATTCACGAGAAATTAAATTATGTGGAACTGACTTTGACATTCGATAATTGAAAAATGCCATAAATTGAATAGACAATGTAACATTGACTTGTTAATGTACAGCAGTGCTGCATGTTAGTAAAAAAAACTTGTTATAATTAGCAAAAATGTTTAAAAACTAGTTACGTTACTACATTTTTACAAGCTGTCATGAGCTTTGTTACGTTTTCATCTCAATTTTTGCTCGAAGCGTCAGTAATTTCACAGAAAAAGAGTTTACGAATTAGATTAAAGCTGTCTGTTAAGCAGGCGAACTTCATTCATCACCATTAAATTATAAAATCCCAAATGCGGCATAATGGATTAATCAGATATTCATGGTTTTACACCTGTACAATACAGCCACAGACATAAAGAACTTTTGCAATCAAATTTGTCGTTTCTCAAATGAATAATGCACTAACTTCATCTTTGGAAGTATTCACATTAAAATTTGGTTAAGGGTGTGCTAATGGAACTGATTGAGTTTTAGTTTTAAGGTGTGATGTCTTTATATAGTGAATATTCAGGTGTTGAGTCATAGAGAGAGGGTTTGGCTGATGGCTGATGTTATGCAAAAGGGATTTGTAGTCTCGAAGTAATAGTAGCTGGGTAATAGTAAGCTGAGAGGTTCGATTCTCATTAGAATTGATTTGTTCAGTAACTTATGAAAGCTTTGGTATCATAAGCAATTCAGTAGCTTTAAATTAAACTCTATTCGCTAAGTTTTGATC